ACAGTGGTAAGTGCCATCAGTTAAACATCACAAAAATTTCTTCCTACCTTTTTATCTGTGCAAAATCAGTTTCAAAGTGACAATATAATTAAGTTCATCAGTATGCATACCATTTGTCAAAATAAAAATTTAGTTCTTACGTTTAAGATTCCGATAGTTATCATTGTTCAGTAATATTTTCATTAATTTTTAATATCATTTATCTTTTAATGTGAGCTGTTAGCAAAAATGATCTAAAAATGGTGTAAGACGCAGTTAATACTTTTAAGATTTATTGAAAAAAGGTTCTTTTTCTTGTGTTACAAACTTGTTGAACTAGAATTACTGGATTAGTCAATTATTTTAAAACATTTTTTTATCCTTTGCATTATGCATTAAAAAAGAGGTGATTTAGAGAAATGCTTTTCCTCTCCCTCCTCAAATGCTGCAGATAGATGCATTAAAAAAGGATAACAGAATATTGCCAACTTTAAACACACAAAGACAATTTTCATATAAAATACTGCTAAATTTTCTTTTTAGGTAAATTAAACATAGTAGGTTGCATTAGGAAAACAAAGCTGAGTAGTTATAGTTGCTTAAAACGTAAGCAATTGCCATATACTTCTTTTAGATGTTATTGAATATGGGGCAAAATCCATAAAGGCAATAGGTTCATTATGAAGTTATACAGTACATAGCAAGTTTGATTCTTCAATTCTTGGGCTAAAAGGGGAAAAAAAGAACTATTATTTGCTGTAAGCTTTCCCTTAATTTAAAATGGCAGTAGTTGGATTTCTAAAAATTACCCCTGACTGTCAAAAGATACATGTATCTTTCTGTTGATCAGTTGGTTATTTTTTCCCCATTAGTCAAATAGTCAAGTATTTTAAAGGTATTAACATGATAAAAGCAAAATCATCATAATAAATATCAACTGCTGTCCAGAGCAATCTGTTTTGTTTGTTCAGAATTATTAATCATTGCATAAAACACTTAAAACAATAATGAACTTCATTATATTTATATTCTAAACTGTATTAAAACAGGTTTTCCTGCCTTTCCACACATTTTGTAAGTAGATTAGTGTATTTCATTCCTAAATAAGGATTAGAGATTGAATTTCTGGAGGGAGCTATAACAGAAAGAAGCTAAACAGTTTTTAATCACCTGTTTCTGTATTCCCAGAAAGAGGTGAACATGGAATTGTAATCTATTTTAGTTTCATAGCAATAAAATGTTTTTAAAATTTGCTCTTGTGAGGACTTTTCCTCAAGCAATGTGACAGAATTCACAAACTTAATAAAATTCTCAGGTGTTTGGAAGGACTGTCAGAGGAGTAGTAGAAAACTGACCTTTCACATATCCATGATTTTTTTCTCTATTTTGTTTCTTCAATTCCACACTGTGAATAATACCGAGACATGAAAGATTACATGGCATAAGGAAGAAAAATTTACATTGAGTCTTATATGAAGGGATAAGAGTGAGCCTCTTGATCCTCACCATCACCTGCTTTACTCAGGTCATGAAACAAATCAAGCAGTGCCATGTGGGTGTTTGTGTGCGCATGGGTGCATATTCAGTATATCATAAACTAATGAAGTCTTGCTTGTCTATATTGAAGAAAGGGGAAATGTAGTAGGCAATTTCTGGCCATTCAGGGAGAGGCTTTGGAGAACAATTATATTAGTCCAATACAGTGGTTCTCAATCTGTGGGTCGGGACCCCATTTGGGGTCGAACAACCATTTCACGGGGGTCGCCAAACAAGGCTGTCTGCCATTTTTCCCCCTTTTCTTTGGCCACGCCCCTGGCACCCGGTGATGTATAAGTGGTTGGGGGTCACCACAACATTGGGAACTGTATTATGGGGTCACGGCATTAGAAAGGTTGAGAACCACTGGTCCAATATATTAAGAGGAAAGTAAGAACCTTCAGCAAAAATATCTGTCCTATACTGCTTAAGATGTATCAGAAACTTCAATATCAGATTTTATGGAATTAGGAGATGGGATTGACTATCTTGATATTAACTGAAACACAAATAATTGTTATTGTTTAAATCATCATTGTTGGATTTCCTTTAATAGCTTATTATTTTGCTCAGTTCACCTGACTCCAGATGGTTCATAAAGAACGTAAAAGCAACTGGTAAAAAAGAATACAGTAAAACCAATCCAAGAAGAATTACATTGATGAATACTTTAAGTGCCAGTGTCTTTAAAAATACTGTAATGAAATATTTTGGGCATAATACTATGATAGTGTAAGAATGCATGCCAAAAAGCGACATAAACATCGAACATAAACTGTGTGGCTGGAAAATGTGAGAAAGATTGTTTGAACATATAATATTTTCTGGAGTTATGCAAACTATATTTAATATTCTTATTAATAGCATTACAGTATTTGCTACCCCTTTCTAAAATACTCAAACATGGATATATATAGACATTACAAATTGTATTCCTGTGTTCTGAGAATAGTTTAAGAGAGATGCTTATTTTTGTCTCTAAGGGTAAAGCCAGAAGTTTAATTGAAGAAAAATATGTAAAGCATCTGCAAGTTGTAGACTGATGCATCTGGTGTAAATCTAAGTATTCTCAGACAGATTATTGTCTCCAATATGGCGTCACCAGACAGTGGGAAGTTTATTTAAACTCATTCATGTAGAAGTAGTATAGTACGCCAATAATTTATACCAAGCTTTTGTATTGGGACAATATTTGGATCAAATACTTCATTTGAGTGTCATAATGAATTGATGTCTTGCTGGTTTTTACTGGTTAGCAAGACAGCTTTTGTAAGGGAAATTGTTACTGGATACAGGATCCAAGCTGGTATAATTCTCTGTAGTAAAGGAGAATTCATTGAGATCATCCATGTGACTCCAGATACCTGGTCCTTGTGAGTAGACCACAGAAACTGCGCTTACAGTCAGCTTATATGTGGAATGGCTGGAGACAGGTTTACATCAAGCTCATGTTTGCAAAGCAGGCTTTCAGTTCAACCACGTCTTATATTTTAAACAAATCTTTGATTCTTTTTAAATTTTTTGTATATTGGAGAGATTTAAGATCTTTTAAACTGGCAAGATTTTACTATGTTTATTAAGTGAATTTCCACCTCCTTAAAAGATGATGGAGTAAATTTGATTTAAATAGTTTTAAAAATATATGATTGTTTGGACTATGTAGCAAAATGGTGCCTAGTATGTGGATTTTGGAAAGTTAGCAGATTAAGGAGGCAGAGGGATTTGGAATTATACTTTGAATTATTTAGAAGATAATTTTCTAATGGGAATTATTTAGAAGATAATTTTCTAATGGGAAAAATTACTTTGATTTTGTTTTTGTTTTTATAATGAGACTTTGAAGCTAGACACTAGAGCCAAAGGATAAAGAAAATGGAGCACAAAATCCTTAATGCAAACTTTTGAATACCTCTCAGCCAAGGTTTTGGATAGAATAGATCAAATATTTGATAAAATTGACAAATTATGTTCTAATAAATTGTAACACAAGAATGAGCTATAATGAATGCCTATGAAATTAATTTGATGGAGAATTTAAATGTAATACACATGAACCTTATGGATGACCCTAAGGAGGTAAACTGATATTCAGCCCAGAAATTGATTTGGATATTACACACACACACACACACACACACACACGCACCCCGGATGTACAAAAGAGCTGTGCTAAGATTTGGAGGGACAGTTAGCAGTGACAAACAAAAGGGTAAATTTTACTCATTGATAGAAAAGAAATCTGTTAAAGTTCTGAAGGAATTTTGCTTTGAAACAGATGATCATCAAACTACCTCTGGAACTTTTTTTGAAGTTAAAGAATAATAATTTTTGCCTATGTTGTGGATTCAGATGTTGTTGTTCCCATACCTTAAATGCTTGGTATGCTGGGCAAAGCTCTATATGACGATTGATAGAGTCGCCATCGGAAAGCCAGGCTTCTTTAAGTAGACGGCCCCCCTTAATAGTGTCCCTAGATATGGGCTGTGCACTATTAAGGTCAAATTCATGCCCATGATCGTTCATGTGGGTCCAAATCTGTGACTGCGAGAGTGGGCGAGCAGAAACGGAGAGTGGTTGGATCCAGGAGAAAGGAAACAGCAACCTCGGAGGGCACTAACACAATAAAGGACGTGGGCCCTTTAAGAAACCAGATGGAGAGGACTGATGGACCTGCTCTAGTAGTAGCTAATGATTTGGTTAATATTAAAATGATAGTAGGCTAAAAGCATGTAATATTTTATGGAGAATTTCTTATAAGTGATATCAGACTTAGTTTTGCCAGCTGTTGCCACAAATGGATTGTTAGTTCTGCCTGGGTGCATTTATCATCAAATTTATTTTATCCTGGCTACAATAGCTCATTGTATGAATTTGGGCCAATCAATGATTTTTTTAGGGAAAAAGTTTTCTCATTGACATCCAGTTCCCGTTTCTTCCTGAATTTGTGTGAGATGTTGATACGAACTGTGTAATTTCTGGCACTATTTCTTCTCAGAAGTTATACTCTGTTCTAAACCAGAAAACATAGCTAAGTCTTGTAGAATAGCTAGAGCAAGGAATTCTATCCGAAGATGTAATAATAGTCAAAATTATAATATTTGTGTACGCCAGAATGATCCAACATCATATAATAGAATTCAGTTTACATGCTTAAAATAAGGTGTGGATTTAATATTAGAATTACTATTCTTTAAAAACAAGAACATGCCCTTGAGTTGAGATGGTCTCCAGGTAATAACATAAACAGAACTATGCTGTTTCCTTGACATTAATGCAGAACATCCAACATTGGACATAGAAGGCTTTGGATGAAATAGAATGGCTAGTGTTGAGTATTGCTCTATAAAGAACAATCATGATTGCTAGAAGTGATATTAAGATACCCTGCATAGTGATTTTGTTTTAGTATATATAGCCTATAATTTATAAGCTGTATATAATGCATATTTCTGTAAATGTTCATAATGATTTGCTTATATTTTCAGGAGTTTGCAGCACTTACTAAAGAGCTCAATGTATGCAGAGAGCAACTCCTTGAAAGGGAAGAGGAAATTGCAGAATTGAAAGCAGAAAGAAACAATACAAGAGTCAGTTCATCTTCTGGTATCATTTATTTCTATTTTGTGTTAGGAATTTATCTTGAAATGGAATCTTACATGTAATTTTGTTTTTTTTTATAAGTGAATAAAAATATTAATTTTATTCATCTGCCTTAATTTCAAAAATGGCTATCTCCACTAGTAAGAAAAACATTTCATATATCAAGACTGTATATTTATCTTACATAATAATACTGTAGGATAATTTATTCTCTTGTTATTAAATATGCTTTTCATACACCAAAACTGTTAACTTTCTAACTGTAAATCTCCACGATCCTTTAACTGAGTTTTCTGAAGAGACTAAAAGCTAATCCTTGCAGTCATTAGCTTAAACTATTAATCCAGGATTTTATTACACCATATGTATATCAGAAAGGCAAACTCAACTGGCTGTCATGAACTTACACTTCATTAGATGCATCACTATTTAATGAATGCAAAATCATTCAAAGCAAGTATTGGCAATCCATGATTTTCATGCACTCTTGTGAAACCTGAAATCTGTCAGGCTCAAAATTTGCTGATAAATCTTTTCTGAACAATTTCTACTTCTTTAAAGGGATTAAAGTTAGATATATATTTTTGAAAAAAAAGTGTTCAAGATGGTATATATAGTCAGAGTTTATAACATATTTAAACAGCACTCCTCTTTTGAAATGGCCTACTTTTAAAAGAGTGTAGGTGAACAAGCTACTTCAAATTAAAACAATGAGAATGTAGAAGTGTGCATGATTATATGCTTCCCTAACAAAGTTTCAGTGTGTTTGTGTAGATTAGTTTTGTAGTAATTTAACCTTTAAAATCTCCTCCCCAATATCATTCACTTTAAAGTGATGCAGCGAAGTTCTTTTGTAACAGGTAAGGCTTATTATGACATGGAGAAATGCCTGCTGAATTTATATGTTCTATAGCAGGGGTCTTCAAACTTGGCCCTTTAATGACGTGTGGACTTCAACTCCCAGAATTCCTCAGCCAGCGTGCCTGGCTGAGGAATTCTGGGAGTTGAAATCCACACATCATAAAAGGGCCAAGTTTGAAGACCCCTGTTCTATAGAGTATTAAAAAAATGTAGATGATATGGACATCTCCTAAATCTATAAAACTAAATAATGCTTATACTATTACACTTATATTCCTAGTTTTAAGGTAACTTACAGGTAGCTCTTGATTTACATCCATGAGTGCACCCACAATTTCGGTCATAAGTAGCGATGGTCATAAAGTGGGTTGCCCCATGACAGACCCAATTTTATGACTTTTTTGTGATCTTTAAGCAAATGCCGCAGTTATTAAGCAGATGCCACAGTCATTAACTGAATGTCACGATTCTGAAACAAACCTCTTGTTTGGTATGGGGTGGTTTTTGTCAGAAATCAGAAGTAAACACTGGTTTCTGGCAAAAACATTGTAAATCACAGATGTGGGGTGCTGCAAATGGCATAAATACAGGCAGTTGCTGAAGGTCCAAAATGTGATCACATACTGTGTGGGATGGACATCAGAACTTCAGAACTGTCATAAATCCCATGCTTGTGGTCTGTCAGAACTTTGAACAGTTGTTAATGGATTGGTCATAAGTCATGTATTACCTGATTAAATCAGAAACATTTAACCTTATAATGTTTTCCATTATATAGCTCAAAAAGATAAACATAAGCATATTATTATTTTCTTTGCATTACTTCGGTTCAGTGTTAGATGAATATTTTTTGTGCACTTAATCTTTAGACACCAATTAATAAGAATTAAGGACTACACTGGGATGATATTGTTTTTAAAAAATATAGAAAAAAATGAAAGCTTAGTTTTTCATAGTTTTGAATAATGAGTAGATTGCTGTGTACATTATGAAAGTGCATTTCTTTTTATAAGTTATGTTCAGCTTCAAAAATGATAATATATAATACCTGGGTATAACTTGCATATCTTTACAGAGAAGCAGAAACAAAGTAATACTTCTGTCTCACTGATAGTGAAATATGTTTGAATATCGTTTTCTTCAGTTCAATATATCTTGCTTTTTTCTCATATAATTGCATTTGATTTTCAGTTACTACTAGAACATTTGGAATGCCTTGTCTCCCGGCATGAAAGATCTTTAAGAATGACCGTAGTAAAAAGACAAGCTCAATCGCCAGCTGGTGTTTCTAGTGAAGTTGAAGTTCTCAAAGCACTAAAGTCTCTATTTGAACATCACAAAGCCCTTGATGAAAAGGTAAATATTTACTGATGTTTTTTCTTTATGAAATGTATTTATTTATTTATTCATTCATTCATTCATTTTATGGAATTCATTAAGGCTGCCCAGTTCCAAGAAAACTCTGGGCAATGTATAGTAACTCCCAATATAAATGTTAAAAACATACAGTAACTATTAATTTATTAGTATAAAAAATAGTTCTCTCATTTTTTTTATTTAAGAGAAATCTGGTATTTTTTTAAAAAATGAAGAATATAGACTAAAAATCTATTGGTGTTGTTTGTACATCAACAGACCAAAATTCAAAATGAGTGTTGTAGATTGGTCTAAATCAGAGGTCCCCAACATTTTGGGCACCAGGGACTGGTGCCATGGAGAGAGGTTTTTCCACAGACTGGAGGGTGCATGGTTTTGTGTGCTGCCTGCATCTTGCAGATGGAGCTTTGCTTGTTTGTGCGGACAGGTTGCTGGCATGCCATGGCCCGATACTGGTCCATGGGGACCCCTAAATCATAAAATGAAGCAAAAATAAATATTGCCTTTCCATCTTTTCAGGTAAAGCTTATTATTACTGTTGCCTCAGCTCTGGTACATGACATAAATCACAACTACTATAGCAGTATTGGTATTAATTTAAATTTCTGCTCTGACAATTCATTTAACTTATGAAGTTTGGGGGAGAGGGTAGTCCAGCACTTCCACGGATGGACTACAGTTTCCATAATACTTCATAGTCATTTCCATAATTATTGGCCATATAACTAGTCTGAAAGGATACCCAATTGTCTACCCCATTCTGCCTTTCTGTTATAGAAACATTTTGCCATTCCCGACAAACCTAGCAGACAACCTTAACTCCCCAAAAGTAGAGAAGGGAACTAGTGGATCAGCCACATTAGACTTAATTGTCACTAACAGATGAAATGTTAGAAGGTGTTGAAACCACAGGAACCTTGGGGGGGAGTGATCAACATTATGCAAGTACAACAATAGAACATAGTCAAACTAGAGTCTTGGAGTTTAAGAGAGCTAATTTCAATAAACTTGGAGAAAGCTTAGGAAGGATCCCATGAATGAGAATCCTCAAGGGGAAAGCAACTTAAGAAGCTTGGGAAATTTTGAAAAGTGAAATTATAAAAGCCCAGTCTAGCACAACACCAACGAAGAAGAAAAATAACAGCTCTCAAAAGAAACCAGCATGGCTGCATAAAGAATTCTCTGATAAATTGAAAGACAAAAAGGACAAGTATAAAAAGTGGAAAGAGGGGCACACATAACTAAGGCAGAATATCAGCAAATAGCCCGAGCCTGGAAAGATGAAATGAGGAAAGCTAAGGCTCAAAAAGAACTAAGGCTTGTGACAAAAGTCAAAAATAATAAAAATAGCTTCTTTTAACATGTAAAAAAACAAGGAAAACATTAAGGAGATGATTGGTCCATTAGTGGGAGAAAGTGGCAAGAAGGTGACAAGCAACAGGGAGAAAGCAGAACTACTTAACTTGTTTTTTGTATCTGTTTTTACACAAAGGGAAAAAAAAGTCCAACCTATCTAAAATAGTACTGTAAAAAAACAGATTAGAAACACAAGTTAAGATAGGCAAGAAAATGGTAAGTGAGTACCTATCCATCCTAGACGAGTTGAAATTACCAGGACCAGATGGATTACACCCCAAGGTTCTGAAGAAACCAGCAGATGTGATCTGAGAACCACTGAACTATATCTTTCAAAGATCCTGGAGAACTGGGGAACTAACCGAGGACAGGAAAAAAGCTGATGTAGTTCCCATTTTCAAAAAAGAAAAAAAAAAGTGGATCCAGGAAACTACAGACCTATCAGCCTGACCTCAATACCTGGGAAGATTCTGAAAAAGATAAGCAATGAATCAGCGAACATCTAGAGCAGGGCTTTTCAACCTTTTTACCCATTGTACCACTTTTACGATATGGCAATATCAGAGTACCACCAGTCACCTAGCAAGGTGTCAAAAACTTGATAACAAAAAAAAATGGCACTGAAAAAAGTGCCCCCCAAGCCACAGCTGAGCAAGACACCTGCCTGCCCACCCGGCGGCGCTCTTCCTCCTGTCCGAGGTTTTCATTGTAGTGAGCATTTCTGGTGAGGATTGGCAGCAGGGGTGGGAGGGTGTTTGGTTTTTATTCCCCCCCCCCGTTTGCTGGGTGGTTGTAGCAGGTTTTGGTCACTTCACATGACCCTGTGACACTGTGACCGTCATAAATATCAATTGGTTGCCAAGCATCTGAATGTAAATCACAAGACCCTGGAGATGCTGCAACGTTCCATCTGATTGGCGCTTCTTCTGGGCTCAGCAGAAGCGCAAGGATCAGTGTTGCTTTCCAGCTGATTGGTGCTTCTTCAGGGCTCAGCAGGAGCACCAGGATCAGCGCCGAGCTCCAGCTGGAGCCTGGTGCTGATCCTGGTGCTTCTATTGAGCCCTGACAGTACCGAAGAAGTGCCGATCAGCTGGAAAGCAGCACTGATCCTGGCGCTTCCGCTGAGCCCTGACAGACCTGCAACTCCAGCCATCTCTCATTCAGACTTGTGTGGTGCTGCCACCGGTTCAGCTCATTCCCCTCCCCCGCTACCACTTTTCTAGGATGGTCGCGTACCACCTGCAAGGTGCCAATGTACCACAGGTGGTACCCATACCACTGGTTGAAAAGCCCTGATCTAGAGGCAAAAAAAGTCATTACCAAAAGCCAACATGGGTTTATCAAAAATAGATTGTGCCAGACAAATCTTATTGCATTCTTTGACCAGGTGACAAAATTAGGGGAGCAGAGAAATGCTGTGGATATAATTTACTTGGACTTTAGAAAGGTATTTGATAACCTACTTCTTGATAAGATAGAAAAATGTGGGTTAGACAGCATCACCACCAGATGGATTCATAGCTGGCTGACCGGCCTTACTCAGGGTGTGATCCTCAATGGAACCGCATCTACATGGAGGGAAGTGAGTAGTGGGGTGCCCCAGGGCTCTGTTCTGGGCCCAGTGTTCTTCAACATCTTCATCAATGATTTGGATGAGGGGATAGATGGAGAACTCATCAAATTTGCAGATGACATCAAGCTGGCAGGAATAGCCAAACACTTCAGAAGATAGGCTTAAAATACAGAAGGATCTTGACAGACTTGAACATTGGGCGCTATCTAATAAAATGAAATTCAATGGTAAAAAAAGTAAGGTTCTATATTTAGGCAAGAAAAACCAAATGCACAGGTACAGTATAGCTGGTACCTTGCTCAATAGTAGTAACTGTGAGAAGGATCTCGGAGTCCTAGTGGACAATCACTTAAATCTGAGCCAGCAGTGTGCTGCAGCTGCCAAAAAAGTCAATACAGTGCTAGGCTGCATTAATAGAAGGATAGAATCAAGATCACGTGAAGTGTTAATACCACTTTGTAATACCTTTGTAAGGCCACACTTGGAGTACCGCATCCAGTTTTGGTCACCGTAGTGTAAAAAAGATGTTGAGACTCTAGAAAGAGTACAGAGAAGAGCAACAAAGCTGATTAGGGACTGGAGGCAAAAGCAATAGGAAATGCATAATGGCATTATTAGATTTCCTTAATCACTTGATGGTTTCAGTCATAGGAAGTATGTTGATAATTTGTGTTGTTTTTAAGATTTATCCCCATTCACCAACATTACTGATATACATTTATTATTGATAGCTACTGAATATTTCAGCATCTAATGCTAGCAGAATTGTTTGGTGTTTATATTTTAACTTTAACCTCCTAGGTAAGAGAAAGGTTACGAGTAGCACTTGAACGATGTAGTTTGTTGGAGGAAGAACTAGGTACTACACATAAAGAGGTAAGTTATTTCCAAAAAACTAAGTCAGACTACTGGTTCTGAAAAATGTCAGATTTACATAGGACCTATCAAGAGAAGGGAAAGCTTTCTTGTAGCCAGTGGCTGTTTGGCAATTTTTTTGGCATTGAGAAATTTGGCTAGTGATATCATAACATAACTGAAATGGGTGGGTCCAAATCTGGGGTTTTGGGGGGGAGTGCATGGAATTAAAATTGAAACTGCAATACAGTTGGAACCACACGTACTTATCTAGGAAGGATATTGCACAGGAATATCAAGGAATGAGTTTTCACTAGCAGATACCTAAAATGTTTTAGCTTACCTTAAAAATCAGTTGACCAATCTTGTTTACTAGTTAAATATAAGACAATTGCTGATTTATTGTTAGAATTTTTTATTGTATTATGTTTTAAAGACAGGCTTGTTACTTGATAAATATCTTCTAAATAGATTATAAGAATTAGTCAAAATTCTTTAAAATCAAGGGCATTGTTATCCATTCATGAATATATTTTGTGAATATTATCACTGCAAATAATTATTATTTGTTAAATGTTCCTTTTTCTATTTGAAATATAGCAGGTCAATTAATATAATATTTTATTTTATTTTATTTTATTCCAGTTAATGATTTTAAAAGAACAAAACAATCAGAAAAGAACACAAGCTGATGGAATGCCTGATATTAATCATGATCAGGAGAATATACCTAGCACTAATGGGAAGGTATGTTTAAAGCATCTTTTCATTTGCCTTTTCATTCAATTTTTTGAGAGGAAAAAATTTGTTTATGATACAGCAATCTCACTTATTTCTCCAAATCATTCCAGTGAAAAAAAGAGCAAGTAAGCTATTTTAATGTATTATTTTCTTGATCATTTGATCCATATACAGGAGATCCTCAACTTGCCAATTGAACCCAAAATTTTTGTTGTTAAGTGAGACAGTTGTTAAGTGACTTTTGCCCCATTTTATGACCTTTCTTGCCACAGTTGTTATGTGAATCACTTAACAATCACTTAATAAATTAGTAACCTGGTTGTTAAGTGAATCTGGTTTCCCTATTGACTTTGCTTGCCACCAGGCTGCAAAAGGTGATCACATGATCTCAGGACACAGTAACAATTATAAATGTGAACCACTTGCCAAGTTTCTGAATTTTGATCACGTGATCATGAGGATTCTGAAGTTTGTAACTGTGGAAAACAGTCATAAGTCACTTTTTTCAATGTCATTGTAATTTTGCATGGTCACTAAGTAAAGTATTGTAAGTCGAAGACTAACTGTACCATTTTTTTATAGGGGATGTTCAAGTAATAAGAGAAATAACATTTTCAGGCAAAAAAATGTTTTGGGCTGGTTCTTGAATTTCTGAGGACCAGAAGTCCACAGTGAAAAAAATCCCGAAAAGTAGTAAGAACAAGCTATTAGTTCTTTTGTTCTCACTTGAATCAGTGGTTTAGTACAGGGGTCCCTACCCCCTGGGCTGTGGCTCACTAACAGAAGGCCAGTTTGAAACCGGGCCACACGAGCAATGTGTGAGGGCGAATGCACACGGAGCTCCACTTGTGTGCGCAGCTCCCCTCACACGAACAGAGCTTCGCAAGTGCCCATCGCTCATATGAGCGGATCTGCGCATGCGAGTAGAGTGCGTGGGCGCATGCAGCTCTACTCTTGAGTGGAGCTCCACAAGCGCTCACTGCTTGCTTGAGTGGAGCTGTGAGTGGCAGGAGCTTGTGCTTGTGCAAATGGAGCTCTGCCACTTGCACGGAACTATCTCCCCTCCCCCCTTGTGCCAGGTCGCCAAGCCAGAAAAATTGGGGACCTCTGGTTTAGTGTGAGAAATTATATGGCACATATTTATGCTTTCATGATGTTGAAGGTTTTTTTAAAATTAACAGTGGCATTTTCCTCCTCTGAATAGAGATCTTCCATTGGCTCTTTGAATCATGATGAAGATCTTGCTAAAGTAATAGAACTTCAAGATATCATAGAAAAGCAAACTAAAGAACAGTCACAAATGAAAGAAAGAATTACTGCCCTTTCTAATAGAGTAGCAGAACTGGAAGAAGATCTTGATACTGCTAGAAAAGATCTAATCAAATCTGAGGAAATGAACACCAAGTTGCAAAGAGACGTACGAGAGGTAAGAATAAATTACTTTTTATTATGATTTAAAAAATTAATTATATTCACTTTTCTGTATATTTGTTTTCCCCGTGAGTTAAAGCATATCTTGTGGTCTGATGTAAGCACTTGGTTTGGGATCATTCCCTTGGGTTTCTATAATAAAAGCTATTAAATTTTGTTTTAAGACAACCTGTTAAACACGTAATGGAGGGAGAATATATATATTTCTGTAATTTTCTGACAATGTTAATTTAGGCAATGGCTCAGAAGGAAGATATGGAAGAAAGAATTACAACTCTTGAAAAACGCTACCTCGCTGCACAACGTGAAGCTACATCTGTGCATGATCTTAATGATAAACTTGAAAATGAAATTGCTAACAAAGATTCATTGCATCGACAGGTAAACTTATTATTTAAATAATACTTTGAGGTTTCCATAAATTAATACTAAAAGTTTGGGGTTGGGAGAGGGGTATCTAATAATTCAAGCTAATTTGACATGGATGAAATTTATGCAAATTTGTTAACCATATTTTTTTTTTTTGAAAATTTAAATTATAAATGAAATCCCCTATGGAAAGGAAAGGAAAGGAAAGACTTTAAATCTGAAAACCCAGAAAAAGTGCGGATTGTCTCAGGTTTTGTAGCTATAAGGAGGTTGTATCCTTTCCATATTTTATATTTTTCCCTCAACAAAAATGCCTCTTCTTTGGGATTTCTGTGGAGATCTTCAGGGAATGGCTATTCTTGGGTTTTTCAGAATGGAATTTGCAGGCCTCCTAAAGCTTTTGAGAGGGAAAAAAAAGTGGGTTGCTTGCCATCAGTTGCAGTGCTGTCACAATCGTAGATGGCTTTGGGATGAAGGAGATAAAGCATCATCACTTTCATAAACAGGAATTTAAATATTTTGCAGTGGCATCTGTAGCACTTTTGCAAAAGTTCAGTTTTACCCAATAAAATTGAATCCCAGTATTCAATTAGGGCAGCCAGGAAGTTTTTTATACAATGTGTAATTCAACTTTGAAATTCACCCTGATGAGATGTGGTGCTGGTTACCAGCTTGATTAGCTTCAAAAAAAGGTTGGACCAGTTCATGGGAATCATGGGGATCAGTAGCTATAGCCTGGATGGTAGTGTGACAGCTTCTGAAAGCCATCTGTTAAGAGACAAGTAAGCTTCTTTGTGCAGTTGTTGGCTGCTGTGAGAACAGACTGCTGAATTAGATGGGCCAGGGGTCTGATCCAACAGAGCACTGCTTATTTTCTTAAAATTCCAAACATATTCACTAAACCAAAAACGTTAGTGAATGAATATGACCTGGGATACCATATCATGTGTTTTGTAAATATTTTAAATTATTTAGCTCAGAAAAGTTATAGTCAGTTCAAAAATTCAGTTTATAGCTAATACTGGATATTTAGTGTACAGCTGGCTGTGGCCTACATGATAATTTCTGTATCCTGAGAATGTATAGTAGAAAGACACCCCTTCTAAAATAAGATCTACCTCCTTGTTGTGGTACCCTCAAATCCATCCAAATTTAGTTCCAGAAACCACAAATTTTAATATGTGTATAGGGAGATAACAAAGGAAGTCTTTTTGTGCTGCATTTTATATGTAACAGTTACTCTAACAGTTTTTAAGATAATCTAGTAATATATCTGGAAAAATATATTAAAAGGAAACTTTAATTTGTTGTGGAATTTTAGTTTTTATTCCCTATTAAATGAGAAATCAAATATTTTTAATAATAAACCTACTTCTGAATGCTGTGTTGCATATAATTTCAGTGATTGCACAGGACCTGTCCTGTATAATTTCCCATCTCAGTTTGCTCACATGTTTCTTTTGCTAATGGAAAACTATTGAAATGTCACACAGTATGTCTGCAGCTGTTGCTACAAGCAACTTTATTTTTGCTTCTAGAGTGAAGACAAGAATAGGCAGTTACAAGAACGATTGGAACTGGCTGAACAAAAATTGCAGCAAACTCTGAGAAAAGCTGAAACTCTGCCAGAAGTAGAGGCTGAATTGGCTCAGAGAGTTGCTGCACTTAGTAAGGTAGGCTGGGTGTTAAGATATATATTTACTAGAAATGGTTGGTTCTTGATCATTTGGATTTTCTTGTATTTACAATTTTTTTTAACCAGGTAATTAAAATTGCCTGATCTACTCTCTATTTTTATCTTGCTTTCTAATCCTTTGGTATAGCAATTCATTGTTTTTAATTGGTTTGAAGATGTTGAAATAGCCTTTTGTGCCTGATTTGAATACTGACTTATAAAATCTTTTTCCAGTTCTTAATAGAATAAATTAAGTACTCCAGCAATTTTGTATCCAATATTTAAAAGTAATTCTTGATGTCTTTTCATTTCATTTTTTTCTTGCTACCATTCTATTCCTTATTTTTGTAGCTTGACTGTTTGCCTTCTCGGAATTCGGCAACTAAAGATGTTAATCTGTTCGAATATACTTCCCAGTCTAGGAAGGTAGAATTTACACAAAGGACTTAAGTCCTTATTTCTGCTTGCTATTGCTTGTTTTTTTTAAAAAAAACTTCACACATTAAAATGAATGTGGGGAAGATAATAGAGATTTTTTTTTCTGAGATGCATAATGCAAATGTATCTCTTTTGTCAAGATTTCCTGTTGCTTCAGTCATCATAGCAAGATGTTATGGAGTGAGAAAATAAATTGCTCATTTGATGCATGAATTCATCCAGCCTTGGCAGTAATATATCTTGAACATCTTGCAGTGTGTGAACAAAAATAGCAGTCTCATACAGCATGATATACTTGTTTGCTAATATTTTTCTTCTGATGCATTCTTAGATTTTAATTACCAGTATTATTTAAAATGGCAGGCTGAAGAAAGACACGGAAACATTGAAGAACGATTGAGACAAATGGAAACACAGCTAGAAGAAAAAAATCAAGAACTATTAAGGGTATGTCATTACAGGGAGGACATTGTGTTTCTTTTCTCTGGCATAAAAAAAAATCAACGATGAATTTCAGGTTGGCATAGAAAAGCTTATATTACTAATCTGCATGAAGTTGAAATAAGATGGGTAAAACTTATTTAGGAGTATACATGAAATACTAGTAAAAAACATTAGGTAGCACTAAAGGGTAAGTTGGAACAGAATTAGCTGCCTATAATTAAATATTAATGTTAAAATCACACAACTGTTTTCAATGGAGTCAGGATTGGCATTTAGTGACTATATGAACAAATGGCCATCATTTCCACCAATCTTCATGTGGCTTTTCAAAATAGTTAATTTAGATGTCATGATATAAAATGTATGAGCTATCATGTTTGGAAAGACAAAGATAAATCCTATTAGAAAAAGATAAAAATCCACGGTTGACAGAGTTTATACATTAAGTATATATAAGTAGGTTTATACATTAAGTATGCAAAAGATAGTGGTGCTCATTCTTGTTATTTATTTTTTACCTTCCTCCTATTCCTCTTATTTAGGCCCGTCAAAGAGAAAAGATGAATGAAGAACATAATAAACGTTTATCTGATACAGTTGATAAACTTTTATCTGAATCTAATGAAAGACTTCAGCTTCACCTTAAAGAAAGAATGGCAGCTCTGGAAGATAAAGTAATTTTAAATATGAATGAATATTACTTCAAGTGCAGTAGATGCTTGATAAATTGATAAAACATATTTGTAAAGACTATAAACATATAAAGTTCTGTCTGCCTGCCTGCCTGCTTGCCTATCTCTCTATATCTATCTATCTATCTATCTATCTATCTATCTATCTATCTATCTATCTATCTATCTATCTATCTATCTATCCAGCTGTTAATAGATATAAGTGATAACAATCTATTATGACAATCTCTCCTTCATTGATAACAAAAAGCAATTATATCTACTTATATAATGCACTGAATTAACTATTATGCAACTTCCTATCCTGAAACTTAGCATCTGGAGATCAAGAAATAAATGTCTATATCATTTTTAAATATGTAGAAAACATAGGATCTTGTTTAGCAGAATGAGTGCAAAGAGTGTGTATATCAACTAGAATGGGTGGCAGAATTAAATATGTTATAATCATAAAAGTAAAATAGTAGAAAGGTATTCTTTAAAAAATGCAGACCCAAATCTTAACAGCTCTTTGTATTAATTAACTTTTGTATTAAATTTAATATCCAGAATTCCCTTCTCCGTGAAATTGAAAGTACCAAGAAACAAGTGGAGGAGCTTCAAAATGAAAAGGTATTAGATGAAAATAAAAATGTTGTCTTAAGTTGTAATGAATAAAATAAAATAAAAATGAGACTCTTACTTTTGTGAAGTTTTAATATATTATGCCTTTTTTGTTGCAATTATTTCTGCACTAACAATAATATTTCATTTTCCATAATTTTAACGGTTTCATACCAAGTATAATGTAGTAGCCCAAAGATAATAGTCATTCTGCACAATTTGTGAATTTTTTTATTTTTTATTATTGTACGTTTTGTTTTTTTAAAAAAAATGATATCAAAACTATAGCTGATTGTGGAACTTAACTGTTTTGCTTCACTAATCTTTTTTTTTCAAAGCCTGTGTTTGATAAACCAGTAGATTATTTACAGCAATAATGAAAGAATGAAGAGTATTTGGGTGATAACACAATATATTTTAATTTTTATTCAAAAGACATTCAAATTTAAAATTTAGAATTATCTAAAATATTTGAATATGTTTGAAAAAGTATACACCTGTAATGTTAAGCTATGTGAATAATCTTTTTTCCCCACAGGATCAGTTGGTAGTAAACGTTGAAGCAATAAGGGCTGAAAATGACCAGTTGAGGATCAGAGGCCCTGCTCTTCATCATAGGTATAATTATTAGTGAAAATCGTTCTGCATTCAAGATGCGCTAAATTAATCCATTTCATTGTCAACAACTAACTGAAACGTATAGGAGAGTAATTATTAATGCTAAATCTGCCTCTGTTTTAATTTCAGTAGGCCACATTTAGGTAGTGTACCAGATTTTAGATATCCACTGGCACCTTCAGTTATAGCAGACAATCAGACAGATTCCTACAGCACCTCAGTTCTACGACGTCCACAGAAAGGACGCTTAGCAGCTCTGCGAGATGAGCCTTCAAGGGTAAGTTGGAATTTAAGCAAATATTTTTTAAAATAGCTTAAGCTAGTGCACCATTTTAAAAATACTTATTTATTAATTTACCTTCAAGTCAGTCTTGATCCATATCAACTACATGTTTTCAGAAGTTATTTTTTGCCATTGTTTATCTTCCTAGGGCTGAGAGAAAGTGACTGGCTCAGGATCACTAAGTTGGTTTCTTTGCCTAAAGCAGTTTCCCTGCTCCCAGTCTATTACATTAACCATTAGACAAAATTGGTTCAGTTTATTGATATAAGTCTTCAAAGATTTGCCTGCTTTTTTATCTAATGTATAGGTGGTTTGGGGCTGTGCTGTTGTTGCTTTTATTGTTTTATTGAGGAGGACTTTTTGCCCTGAAACTTCTTTATTTTATTATTTATTATTTTATTTTATTTTATTGTTTTATTATTTTATTTATTTTATTTTATCATTTTATTATTTTTATATTTTATTTTATTGTTTTATTATTTTTATATTTTATTTTATTATTTTATTTTATTATTGTATTGTATTGTATTGTAAACAACATTCCATGTAGCTTGTCCTGCTACATGATTAAGAACTATGTATTTTAGGTTCAGGTATTTAAAACATGCATTTGAAGCAGCTGTTATTTGAAAGCCTTGATGCATGAGGCAGATAAGAATATGAATTGCAAAATATAACCTTAAGTAATGTTTGAATCTGTGTTTTGGAGGGAGTATAACTCGTTTAATTAAACGTATTTAGATTTGTTTATGATTTAAAATAGATTTTATATTATAGTTATAGATGTTCAAAGAAAGTAGTGTTTAAAATTGTGTTCTGGGAGGAACTTATATAGAATGATGGATAATATTATAAGTATGATTAGAAGATGTTTAGAGTATATTATAATGTGCTTAATGATTATTACTTTCTAGAGATAATCTATTTAATTTAAAATATCTAGACTTGTTTAGGATTTATATGTGTTTTAAGTTTTATATGTGTTTTAAGTTTTTTCTTTTTTTTTTTTCTTCGAAATATTTTGGATAAGCCTGTAATCAACTCTGGGAGGTCCAGGGGAGGGTTAGGGAGGTTTGGGGAGTTGGGGGAGGGTACGGGAGGCTGGGGGGGTTTGGGGAGGGGATTTGTCTTGTAAAATTTCAAAAATTTTCAAAAAAAAAAAAGAAAGGCAAAATTGTGCAGACTTCAGTGCATGTGTATATTTATATTTATAAATCAATAATAAGACTATTCATTACTTAACAATACTTTAATAATTCAAAATGATTTGTACTAAGTATGCAAAATTAATCTTCCCTCAGCCCACCTACAGAAGTAAGATTCGGGTGGAACGTTTGCTTGATAATTTACCATAGATTACTGCAACCAGCTCCCAAAGTTGGGCAGCTGGTTTTAAATGTTTGATTGGCACTCTGTTTGTAGAGCTAAACAGATAAGACAGTTAATTTCAACATTGCTTACAGGGAAACTAGAAACAGAGATATTTTAATGATGGTTCTCTTCCATCTGCTATTTTGATTCTTTCATTTATATCCTGCCTTTTCTCCAGGAGCTCAAGGTGGCTTATATAGCACTTTCCCCTACTGTTATTCTACAAGAACAGCCCAGTAGTGTAGGTTGGGCTTAGACACATAGTGATTGGCCCAAAATCACCCAGTGAGCTTCCATGACTATGGATAGACTTGAATCTGATCTCCTAAGTACTAATCCAACAACTTCACCACTGCATCACAAAGCATTGTGCATAGAGGCTGGATCTAGACCTGTGGGTCGGGACCCCATTTGGGGTCGAATGACCATTTCACTGGGGTCGCCAAACCACGCTGTCTGCCATTTTTTTCCCTTTTCCCTACCTGTCCTACTCCCTCTTATTGGTGGCCACACCCACTTGGGGGTCACCACAACATGGGGAACTGTATTATGGGGTCACGGCATTAGAAAGGTTGAGAACCACTGATCTAGACTTACTATTTCATAACTTAAAACTATTTCCTTTTGTGGAGTCAGATCCAGCCTTGACTCCTGATAGATGAAAGAAAAGGGTTGATACTTGCGGATTCCCTGTTCCCTCCATAGCACCTCCCACATTGTTTTTAGAAGACCAGCCCATTTTCAAGTGTCATAGAAAGCATTGGATGAATTACTAAAAAATGTCCCCTGCTTCTATTGCTCTTAAGTGAAATTTTGATTGGGGAAATCTGGATCCAGCCTATATGCTCTATTCACATAAACTGGGATTCTAATGGATCAAGACCAAGTTGTATGTGTGGTTTATTGAGTAAATTATCTAATCCTGTTTCGTTTCTTCTTTACAAGCCTGGGTTATAAAATAAAGCTTGTGTTGGTTTATGAATTCTGCCTGATAAAGGAGAAAGAAAAAAACAGGATTGGGGCAATGATTGACGCACTAAGTAATGTTGCATTTATATATTTATTTTCTTAATTTTTAATCATAAAGTATGTCCTGTGAATATAATCTAATAATGTTTGTTTTGCTTTTATTGCATTCTAAATACTACTGTTGTGATTGATTTCTGCAGCATGTAAGTGAAGTTATACAGACTTTATATATATATTTTTAAATGGAAGAGATATTTAAAATTACAGCTGAAATCATGTATTTTAAATAGGTTCAGACTCTTAATGAGCAAGATTGGGAACGTGCACAACAAGCAAGTGTATTGGCAAATGTTGCACAAGCCTTTGAGAGTGATGCTGATATCTCAGATGGTGAAGAGGACAGAGAAACTATATTCAGCTCAGTTGATCTCTTGTCACCTAGTGGTCAGGCAGATGCCCAGACCTTAGCCATGATGCTTCAGGAGCAATTGGATGCCATCAATAAAGAAATTAGGTACAAAATTAATTTTTGTCATTGTTTTTCAATATTACATTTGAAGTTCACTAATGTCCTTTTATTCTCGTAACATTAGAAATCTGGCTTCCTTTCAGTGGCTTGACCTGTAGGCGCAGCTAAAAATATTAGTACTTCACTCTATGTCAGCCAGAGTTTAGTTACTTTTGTTAGTGTTAAATAGGGAACAAGAACTTAACATTATTTAAACCTGGAGAATAAACATGACTAAATATAGACAGAAAGATGAAACAGTAAAGGAGAATATTTGTAGCTCATGGTCCTTGGTGTTCTCTGAGCTTGTTTTCTTGTAGCGATGTTACCTAGTTTGCCTAATGAAACATCTGCAAGAAAACAACTAACTCAGAGAGCACCAACAATCCCTCATAATGGAATGTGAAAGTGACTCTGGGTGCCGTACAACACTTAGTTAAAAACTAGTAAATACATAAAAGTTACAATTAAAAAAATAATTAAAAAAGGCACACAAAACAGGAGAGGATGATATTAAATACAGTAAGCAAGGGACCGCCAGGCCAAGTAGTGGCCAAAATTGTGGAAACCTTTTGGGAAAAGTGTACAATAGAAATGCTACCTTTGGTTAAGTTTCCACCAATTTTTCTTCTAATTTCTTTATAATTGTAGCCTTGTTCACTTAATAATACTATTTTACATCACTTTCTGGGCAACCAGTCAACTCTTTGCACCATTACTTTAATTTTATTACGTTTTACAAGCTCACTAAATGAAAGAACACAAAAAGCCCAACTAACTTGATAGCAATCATATAACACACTGACAAATGTCCTCTCAGCTTCAATACATGACATTAATAATTGAATCCCACTGTGATCTGATTGGCTCATTGCCAAAACAAGATGACACCTGATTGGCTGTCAAAGCACTCTTGCTCATTGGCTACAATCAGATGAAGGAAAGCTACCTGATATACACCTAAGCAAGTTGTGCTTCCTTTTTCTGGTTATTTGGCTATAACTTTTCATAGAATACAGTACAGATAATTGAACAAACTTTGTTGCATTGCATTCTTGATTAAATTATCTTTCCATTGATATATAATTTTATGGTCCTACTCAAAAAAAAAGTGGTGTTACTAGCCATCAAACCTCAAAAATACACTTTTCCCAAAAGGTTTTCACAATTTTGGCCACTACTATTGGCAGGTTTTGCAGAATGTTGAAAGGGATGGAGTCATTCTGGATACGAGATGAGTGGCATATAAATATAATAAGTAAAATGGAACTAAACACACTCGTTGCGGGGGAGGGGAGAGAAGATTCCAGAAGGTGCTATGTCAAAGAATGCTTGTGTCTTGGGACTTGCCAAATGTAATTCACTGATGGACAAGACTATAGTGTGCCCTCTTTGCCAGATCTGATGGGGTAAGAGATGTAATTGAGGATAGGGGGGAGGCTCCCTCAGATAACCCAGCCCACACCATGAGTTTTATCAGAAATCTATAAATTAATATTTTAAGGGTTGAAATCCATGAGATGAGTTAGTTATCAATACCTTTTTTTTGTTTTTTGCTTTCCAATTCATTGTACCTAACATATTGAAAAAACAGGAAGATTAAGGCAGTGGTCTGTGTAAAGAAGCTTATTTTCTATTGGGTAGAATTAGCAAGCAAAGTTTTTAGCATCTTTTTCATTTCCCCCAAAATAGCACTGCTCTTACTGTAAGAATCTGAAACTAAATAACCATTTCTTCAGTGATGTGTTATTAAGAAACAGAATATTAGTTGGTTAGCTTTCATTATATAGAGCATATATAAGCAGCTACTACAACTTATTTATCCCAACTAATTGTATTGTCAGTGAATCTTTAAGGAAAGTACTTGTTAAGTTGCAACAATTATAAATTATTTTTGATTGTAATTGATAATTGTATTTATTTATTTAATGTATTGGTCACCTAACTCCAATGGACTGGAGTTTGTACACAATGGAATAATATCAGTGGTTGTTATTTGAAAAGTGTGTTTCCATTTTATTCCTACAACTGTATCAAGCACTTCTACATAGACCCTAAGATTAATCCTGTAATTAAATAATTTAATATTACATGAAAGTATATTTAAAGTAATATAAGAGACATTGATAAACAAATTCATTATGTAGGTTGCAGTTATTTACTTTCGTTCTGCCTGGTGTTTAAATGTGTGTCCTTTCCCAAAGTTGCATTGGGCTGTAGATACATTCTATATATGCCAACTGTTGTATTTGTTGGTTGTAGCGTTGCTTTGGTTTTATGAATTGCATCATTTCTTAATTCTTTAGATTGATCCAAGAAGAAAAGGAAAACACTGAGCAAAGAGCAGAGGAGATAGAAAGTCGTGTTGATAGTGGGAATTTAGACAATCCTGGTCGATTCCGATCAATGAACTCTATCCCACCTCCCTTTCCTAGTGGAAACCTTTCTGGTTCCTCTCCACCAGGAAGTGGGCTTTCTACTCCTCGAAGAATGCCACACAGTCCTGCTCGAGAAGTGGACAGACTAGGAATTATGACATTAGTAAGTATTACCTGTTTCATCTTTTCTCTTTCCTTCCCCTATATGAAAATACATCTCTAATATTTTCCCCACTTTACATGGTGTTTATGGCACTGTTTGTGAATGGAACGCCTTGATTTATGTCTTAGCAATAAATTAAAAAAAAAAAACAGGAATCTCCTAACTATGATTTCTTGTCTTATAAGAAAGTAGTTCTGAAGCTAGTAACCTTAACTCTGGCTTCTTTAATCATATTTTATGCAAAAGAGCAAAGAAATTATGTGCATAAATTAAAACCTGATTGTACATACACAGAGAGACATATCAGTTTATTAGTTAGGTTATGACTATGTGACCTGCCTCTACATCTTGATTATGAAAGTCATTTTTTTTCATTATGAGATATTGATAGGACTTTAACCTGAGATTTAGCTTATGTTTGGAACTGGTAGCAAATTGTATCTAATGAAATGTAGTTTGTTTTCTTTGACATTATTAGCAGCTTTTCCACAATACAGTACATTTGGGTTGGTTTTGTTTTGTTTTATTTTTAAATAATTATTACATCTTTAAGAATTGAATTCAACAGGTAGGGAGTGATGGAACTTGTAACTTAAATGGTCTCATCAACTTCTGAATTGTAGACTTAGCTACAATTTTGTGTTTTGCAAAATGCAACTTGTCCTAAATTCTTTTTCCCTCTTGACTGGGCATAGAAGCTAAGCAAGGTTGGACCTGTTTAGTACAAGCAGTCCTCGCCTTATCACTACAATTGAGCCTAAGAGTTCAGTTGCTAAGCAAGACAGTTGCTAAGCAAGTGAGTTTTGCCCTATTTTACAACCTTTCTGACCACAGCTGTTGAGTGAATCACTGCAGTTGTTAAGTTAGTAACTCGGTTAAATGGAGTGGCATCCCCATTGACTTTGCTGTTCAGAAGATCTCAAAAGGTAATCACATGACCCCGGGACATGCAGCCATCACAAATATAAGTCAGTTGCCAAGCATTTAAATTTTGATCACATGACCTTGGGGATGGTGCAATGGAAGTCTGAAAAACAGTCATGAGTCACTTTTTTCAGTGCCACTGTAATTTCGAGTGGTCACTAAATAAACTGTTATAACTCGAGGTCTACCTGTACTTATATGGAAGGCCTCCAAAATACCAGGAAAATAGGATAGTGATCTTGGAAAGCAATAGGGAACCACTTCCTCTTTGATTTCAAGAAAGTTACATAAATTTCTCTATGAAGTTACCAAGAGTTAAACTTGATTTGATGGAGACTTTGTAACCATGGATTCTGTTGTAAGAGAAATCATAACTCTTCTTTTTTCTGTATATAAGAATTAGAACAATATCTTTGCTTCAGTCTTTTTTCTTGCAAGATCCCCAAGAATCCTCATACTTATAAATATATATTTTTATTGAAATGTTTAGTTATTAAGGATCCAAGTGTTTTTAGGGTAAAAATATACTTTTACTCCTTATAGCTAGTTAAAGATTTCTTTCTATTTTTTACTAGCCCTTAAGACTGACCTCCAAGATTGATTATATTTAAACTGGTCTGCAAAGGGGGGGGGGAAACCCTACAAATCATAGCCATGCTTTTAGGACAAAGATATTTTCTAGTTAATATAACAATTTAGTCAAAAGGCTTACTTGGTATTTTACTTCACTTTCCCCAAATAATCGTAGAATGTTATGTTAGTTCTTTTAAAATTGAAATTATCTACCAATCTGCTTTATTTTACTTTCTCTTCTTTGCATGCATCTGTCAGCCTAGTGATTTAAGGAAACACCATAGAAAGGTAAAGCTTCAATAGCAGACTTATGTTGAATCTAGTATTATACATTGTATGCATGTGTGTGTGTCTGTGTGTGTGAAATGCCTTGGTCAACATGACCACTCCTAATTATGCAAATTATTTCTATATGTCCATCTTTGCTGTTTGCTTATTCTCCAGATACATACATCCCACTAAGCCTTTCTTCATTGAAAAGCAGAGATAGAAACTGGGTAGTGTATTTACATATTTGCTCGTCAAAGAACAAAATAATTTAAAAGGTACAGTGTAGGCCAAAACCCTATATGTAGAGTAAGGATTTTCGTACATCCCGTTTCTCTGCTTTAGATTTTTTTAAAAGAACAATGGCAGCATCATGCTATCTAACCTCTACCCAAATCAGATTTTAGTAAGTATTACTAAAATGAAATGGAAATCACTTTGACTTTTAGATGTAGCTATGTTTGGATTCAATCTAGAGAATGATTGGGTAGTTAAAGGTCTGCATTTCTGATTGTAGTGCATTTCACGTTAACTCTTCTTTTTCTGATTTCTGTGGGCCAGCTTGCTGTAGAAACATGGGATCTAATTTTGTATCCCTTCTTATTGTATACTGCATTGAAAATGTCTTGTCTTTTAGCTGCATAAACCTTCAGATCACTTGCATTCCTAAAAGATTAGAAATAAATGTAGTAGTGATGCTTGTCAATGGTTACTGAAAAACTAAATATACATATTACAACATTATTTCCTTTACAAGACCTTACTTCAAATCTCTACATTTCTGTTTTTTTGGAAAGTTTTAAGAAAAAAAGAAATCCGGTAAAATGCTCTATCGAATTCTACCTATTAATTCAGTGGTTCTCAACCTGTGGGTCAGGACCCCATTTGGGGTCGAACGACCATTTCACGGGGGTCGCCAAACAACGCAGTCCGCCATTTTTCCCCCCTTTTCCTTAGCTGTGCTACTCCCTTTTATTCTATTGGCTTTTGAAAGCCAATAGAATAGACTCTCTTGAATAGAGTCTAATTCTATTGGCTTTCAAAAGCCAATAGGAATTGTCCAGGCTGTCTCTGCCCTGCTGAGCCCGCCAAAAGTCCCATTCTGCAAACGGTGCTGCACCAGTTGAGTAGTCCTCGACTTACGACCGGTTGAGTAGTCCTCAACTTACGACCGGTTGGGGGGTCGCGGCATTAAAAAGGTAGAGAACCACTGTATTAATTTCAGGAAGTCACTTCAGATCTTCCAAAAGTAATTTCAAATTTATATAGTTCAGTTGCAAGGTACATTGTTCCTTGTGTATTATCATACCTACTTATGATAAAAAATTATAAACACCTCTTCTTATTTGTATAGCTTTCTTGAGAGATAATTTATCTTCACTTATGAAAAGAGCAATTTCTAAGACAGAGAAATTTGTAATAGTTAAAATGCTCTGTTTTCATATCTTAATTTAAGATGCAAGACATACTTAAGTTGCATTCATTCTTAGTCTCCAGTTTCTAGAGAAGAAGTTAGAGATGACAAGGCTACAATAAAATGTGAGACCTCACCACCTTCTTCACCTCGATCACTGCATTTGGATAAATCTTATAAAGGAGCTTTGCATACAATGAGCCAGGAAGATATAAGAGATCTTCGAAAGTAAGTCTTTTGAATAAAGATCGAGATTTGTATCACAAACAACTTTGTATGGTTATGTTATTTGTTCCTTTGGCCTCCAAAGACCAGTTTGCATTGCTGCCTGTTTTCTAAATGTTCTCTTTTTTTAACCTCTTTTCCCCATTTGTGGAGACCTTTACTTTTGCTGGCAGTTTGTCTTCTAGACCAGGGGTAGGCAACCCAAAACACTTAAAGAGCCACTTGGACCTGTTTCCCACCAAAAACAAAACACTGGGAGCCGCAAAACCCTTTTGATATCTAAAAGGAAGATAACACTGCATATATCCTTTTTTACCTTTTATGTGTGTGTGTGTGTGTGTGTGTGTGTGTGTGTGTGTGTACGTACATACATACACACACACACACACACATATATGTCATAAAGGTAAAAAAGGATATATGCAGTGTTATCTTCATTTTAGATATCAAAAGGCTCTCTCTCTCTCTCTGTCTCTCCTTCCCTCTCTCTCTCTCTTTTTCTTTCTGCCCTTGGTCTGCCAATCCCCTTCCCCAACACTCTTTCTCTCTCTCTCTCTCTTTCCTCTCTCTCCCTCCTCTCTCTTTCTCTCCCCCCCTCTCTCCCTCTCTCCGATCTTCTGCTCACCTGGCAAGCTGGCTTCAAGCTGTTCTCCAACAAGCTCAGGGGTAGGCAACCTCGGCTCTTTTATGACTCATGGACTTCAATTCCCTGAATTCCTGAGTCAGCATAGCTGGGCTAGCTAGCTCTCTCCTGTGCTTCCTGCTTCCTACAGAGATGCAGCAAAGGGAGGAGCCACGCCCAAAAAGATTTTCAGCTTGTCAGAGAACACAGTGAGTCCACTCTTTTTTACACACAGAGAGAGACAGAGAGAGACAGAGAAGCAGGGAAGCGCAAGTGCCTCTCTCTGTCTCTGTCTCTCTCTGCAAATGGCAGAGGTGGCTGAAAGCCACAGGGGAAGGCACAAAGAGCCGCATGCAGCTCTGGAGCCGCAGGTTGCTACCCTGTGTTCTAGACTATTTGAGATAATTCTTGGAGGCATTATACCCTCTTGCTCCTAGTATCACTGCTCTTCCCTTTTCTGTACTAATACAACGTTTTGTCCTCACATTCTTTGATAAGGTGGCAAACAGGTGCTTTCTACTTGTGGCAAATTTCATAATTTCCATGACTTTCAGATACCAAACTAAAGCTGCAATGCTAAACACAGTTCTAGGGGGAAAAGATCCCATTCGAATTTGTGCTGACTTGGTGCATTTCTGTTTACTTAAAATTAATCATAAGATCTAAATGGATTTTAATTTAAAAAAATTAAATTTATCACCTAAATTTTAAACAGCTTTTGGACTGAATAGTTGCAACACTGCTTCCTTTTGAATTAACTTCCCATTTTTATGGCTTTACCAGTTCAAAAACAATAAAAAATAATTTTAGAACCATATCTGGGAGTACTGAGAAATTGTATCTGAAAGTGGTTATAGTAGTCAAGCTTGCTAGTAGTCTTATTCGATCTGATTTTCAGTTTTGCTTAATTCACATATTGAAGTTGACACCTTGCAACTTCTCTGGGGGTTTTTTGTGTTAATATAATTCTCTTTAATAGTATTTTAGTAAATAGATTGGGTTTGATTACATTATAAATTAATTAGGGGTCTTTGTTAGCACCAAAACAGTCTAGAAATGTTTTAATAATAGCAGTAGTAAACTATAGTGTAATAACAAAATGTGTCAGAAATAATTAATTTCCCATAGTTATTTAAAATACAATTAACTGAAAGAATTCACAGTAGTAATTATAATTATTTATATTGATGGATTCTCTATTTATGTATTTCTATTGGATTTTAAAAGTGATAGAAGTTCAGGTGATGTTATAATTGGTTTCAATTTCAAATTTATGTAGAAATTTCCTTAAAAAATTCTGTTACGATGGTTTTAATAAACATCAAGTCAAAAATTTACTTTAAAATCAACTTAATTAATTAATTAATTAAAAACATGGTCTTCATTTTGCACTTTAGGCTGAATGTGTACTGTGTCATTAAAATATATTTGTATTTATTACTTATTAACTGAATGATCTTGGATTAGAATAGGTATGAGTAATGAATACTTTAGAAATGGCTTAACAATTTTGTGTCCTACAGTTCTACAGGCTCTCAAGATGGACAGATAAGCAATCCCAGTAGCAGTAATAGCAGTCAAGATTCTCTCCACAAAGCTCCTAAAAAGAAGGGGATCAAATCCTCAATTGGCCGCCTATTTGGTAAGAAAGAAAAAGGTCGATCTGGACAGATGAATAAAGAGATCCTGGGACAAGGTTGGTATATTACTAATCCAAAATATAAAAGTTGAATAAATGCTAGGATAACTATTATGCAAATTACTTACTTGTAATATTTGAAGTAAAAACTATAGTCAATTTCTGGCAAAAGACAGTTGTCTTTTGTATTATTTAGGTTCTGCTAATTTGAATAATATAGACTCTATGTCTACGTTATTCAAATTAGCAGAACCTAACTTAAATAATACAGTTAACTCTACTACACATACTGATAATTATAAAAATATACATATTTCTCAGATATGTACCAAAGTCATGGGTCACAGGAACTTAATAACTATATAATTTTGTGTGAAAGTGCTAATTTTTGTATTTTTTGGATCTAGATCTTTTATGGTCTGGATGTTCGTAAACATTTTATACTTGAGCTGCTACAATTCAAGACTCCTCTCATATAAGCAGTACTCCCAGCAAAGCTGTCTCCTATATTTGCACATATTAACAAGGATGATTAGGGAAGTCCCTTGCAAGTGGCCATGCTAGAGAGGACACAATTACTTTAGTTTCAAGGGCTGCATTTCATTTAGGGTTCCTAAAATAATAATAATAAAGTTGGAAGGGACGTTGGAGGTTATCTAGTCCAGCCCCTTGCTCAGGCAGGAAATCCTACACCATTTCAGACAAACGGCTGTCCAGTCTCCTCCCAAAAACCTCCAGTATTGGAGCATTCACCATCTCTGGAGGCAGGCTGTTCCACTGGTTAATTGTTCTCACTGTCAGGAAGTTTCTCCTTAGTTCTAGGTTGCTTCTCTCCTTGATTAGTTTCCATCCGTTGCTTCTTGTCTTGCCTTTAGGCGCCTTGGAGAATAGCTTGACTCCCTCTTCTTTGTGGCAGCTCCTGAGATATGAATTATGACTTTGAATTTAATTACCCCCCAACAATATACATAGCATCAATAGTTAACATACGAATTAAATTCATTAATAATATGAATTTAAAGTCACTAAGTAATTAAGATAGCAGTGCATTGATTGCTGGACAGCAGACAAAATGATAGGAGATGTGCCTTCTCCTTTTTATGCATATCTAACACTAATTCAGAAACATTAGAGAAGATATTTATCACTATAATTACTGTTTCTTACAGTTAGTGTATTAGAAGCAGAAAGTTCAACTCAAGATGGTTTGGGGCTTGGAAAACTTGGAGGACAAGCAGAAAAGAATAGAAAACTGCAAAAAAAGTAAGTCCCAATATATTAAGAAAACTTTTAGGTTAGAAACTTCTCCTTCATGACTTATTTGGCTTTTAAAGGGACAAACAGTTCTACTCAACTTGGGAGGAATTTGCAGCTTCCGATAATGTGTAATAAAATTAATGAAGGAAGAAAGATTATAGCGGGCAGTAGTGAAGCAAATATATTAATGTACGTTGCTGATTTTCTTAGGCATGAACTTCTTGAAGAAGCTCGGAGGCAGGGTCTGCCTTTTGCTCAATGGGATGGCCCCACAGTGGTTGTCTGGCTAGAGGTAAGAAATCTTTTCAATTTCAAATAATAATTCCTTTAATTTGAAACTTTTAAGTAATTATATACCTTTCTGTATTTTTTTTTCCAGTTATGGGTTGGGATGCCAGCTTGGTATGTGGCTGCTTGCCGTGCAAATGTGAAAAGTGGTGCTATAATGTCAGCCTTATCGGATACTGAAATACAGCGTGAAATTGGAATCAGTAATCCTTTACATAGGTTAAAACTGAGACTTGCCATACAAGAAATTATGTCACTAACGAGTCCATCGGCTCCTCCTACATCAAGAACGGTAAGAGAACTTGGATAATGACATGAAGAGACTAATGAGAAAATCAGATTTTCTACTCATTCACATTTGTTATGGGCATAAGCTATTCTCTTCAATAAGATGATGCTCTTGAAAGAAAAAATAGTGTTGTGAGAACATTAAGAAAATGGCAAGAAATAAACTACTTAAATAAGTCTGTAATAACTTGTTACTTTTTTTCTTAAGCTACTTATAATGTAAAAGCTGACATATGATTTCTCTGGTGAGCAAGGCCATTGAAATACTTTGAAAGTGAAGTAGCAGATAGTCCTCCTACTTAGCTCTAAAGAAAGGATTGCAGCCTGGTTTGTCTTACTACAATGTGTAGAGTATGTTGCAGGGAAGAGAGGTTTGTTTTAAAAACATGATAATACAGTAAAGGAATGAAGCTTATTTTTTGGCTACTGAGACCAACAAGTGTTTATGGACCTTAACTTTAAATTTGTACTGACTGGAATCCAGAAGAGACTGGATTCAGTGGAATTGTGCCCATAGTTTTTCGGTCACGTGTTCACCTTTGCCACAAATCTGTTCCTGAGGATCAGTAGGCTTTCTACAGTGATGCAGGATGAGATATGCAGGACAGAAAAAAGTGAGAGAAATTTAGCAGGCTTTCTTAGGAAATTAAAAGTTCCGTTCCTGCTCATGCAAGACATGTGTTGTGGTTCCGGCTAATGAAACATTCCAAAGAACTTCCAGGCATTTGTTTTCATAAAAGTCTTTTATTGTTACAAAATGTCGGCACAGGCACAGCGGAGGGATGCTAGGATCTAAGTTCTCTTCCTCTGAGCAGTTAAATTATCAGCATGTTCCCTCCCTAAATTAGCCGTCATATCTCACACTATCCAATTAGTGTGAAGGTCAAATGTTTTCTTCCTCTTTCTTTCCCGGGCTTTATCCCCAATGCCCCTTCTGCTCTTTATTAACCCCATATTTACCAGACAATTCTGCATATTATCAAAAGCAAGAATATACAATATTTGCAGCGTTGACAACATGTGGATTAGCCAGAACCACCTAGATGCCAAATACTTTACATATGGGAACTTAGATAAAGTAAATAGTACTATGGTTCTGTCCAAGTAATGTTCTAGTAAGTGAGGGGCCACACTGGTAAATTTCAATTAGATACATTTCATAGTGCATTTAGTCTAGTATATTGTGTCCAGTACATTTTAATTTCATTTTATTTGTAGTGATCACTGTGTGATTAGTATCAGCAAATTAAATGGGAACTAGATGAAAACTGTAATATGGCTATGCATCCAGATCTGAATTAAAATTTATTCTGGCTGCGTATATACATCTCCCAGCAATTAAGGATTAGCATAGCTTTCCCTAATCTTTTTTCTTCCAAAACTGTTGGACTACAATTTCTTCATTTCCCAGCTAACATTGCCAACAGTTAGACTGACTGGATATTTTGTGAACTGCAATTTTAAAACATTTGGATGACAGGCTTTCCTCTTATGAAAATAACTGTGGAAAAAATACTGATTTGACAGAAAATTGGGGCAATTAAAGAATAATTGGATCTTAGAAAACAACTTCTAAATTCCCTTGGGTGGTTAATGTAAAGTGCCAAATAATGGCTTACTGGTACATAATTAAATCTTGAGCTTGCATGTTATACTTACTATCTAATTTGTAATAAAATATATTCTGCTTGTGTTCTATTAGTAAAATGTGGTTTGTACTTGTTCTTAAATCCAGGATCACAAATCAGTTTGAAAATGGTTTGCAATCCTAGGCTAGAGAAGTGCAAACCACAATTTTGTTGTTAATTACCATAAGCTAGAAAATGTGGGATGAATGTGCACAAGAGGACCTGATTTGCTAAAGTACTGTATATTATATTTTCGGAACAGAAAATAGATATTTGGCAAATAACTTAAAAGCAACTGAAGCACTCTCAAAATATAATTGGAATACTCAGTGTAAATATTATGTCTGGAAGCCATAATGTAGCAATTTTATTTATTACCCTTTTTTAAAAATATAGTTTTGCATTTAATAGAGATAAATGTATTTACCTGTGGGGCTTGCTTTTCACATCAGCTTATACTTAATGGTCTTGAAACTTGCTTTTGCCCATGCCTGCTCCTTAAACACATCTGTTGCTTATATATTCTGCAACCTTTCCTCTTTGTTACTGCTTTCCTTTCATTGGATGTGATTGTTTCACTATGGGGTCATTTTAGACTACAGGAAATGTCTGGGTAACGCACGAAGAAATGGAAAATCTTACATCTACACCACAAACGGTTAGTTGTGGAAGTGCTTCTACTTCTTGATTGCTTGAATCATATACATCTGGAAAAATAGAAATATTAATGTAGCTAGATTCTTAATTATGATTGATTTTAATGACTAACCCATTTGAAATTTATCAGCCATACTGTAAAATGTTTTTCCACCAAGATCATTGTGTAGCTTAGAGGAGAATAGAACATTTGCCTGTGTATATTTCAAAGAAGATCAATGCATTAATTGTACGAGATGCCACTCCTTAAAATTTTTCCTTGAGTTTTTATATAGAGGTTGCTTCTTGTGTGGAAAAATAAAGCAGTATGTGGTATCTCAGTCTTCCTGAAGATATAAATATATTCAGAAAAATGCATATATGCACAATTTTGGATGCATGGTTCTTTTATCTTGAAATAGCATGTTGCTTTTTTCACTATTGAAATATGACCACAATCCAGGAGAATAATTTTACGCTCTAAAATATTTACTGTTTGGGGATAGATAAGTACAATTAATAAATCATGCAGAGATAAAATGTCTATTGAGAAAAACTTAATACAGATTTACAAGGTTATTTATCTCCCTGGATTGTAGCCATTAGCTTGAATTTACTTAAATTACTAAACTTATAATACTAACATTGTATGTCCTTTTACTTTTTCTAACTACCTAACGTCAGGAAGATGAGGAAGGAAGCTGGGCTCAGGTTGGAGACTTTTCTTTTACGTGTTTAAGCGTTAGCTAAAATTTATTAAATCATAAAATCCAATTTTCAGTGCTTATTTATATATTTAACAGAAACACATCAATTAGTTTTTCTTCAGAATAATTCTTATTTAAATATTCATATTCTGAATAATTTTTGAAATATTAAAAGACTTTAGAAATTGACATGTATTTATTAAATTTGTTTGCCACCCATCTTGCTGCAAGGTGATTCTGGTCGGCTTCCCATATTAAAAACAATAAATTTAAATGTTTAAATATGTATTTATATTTTATAGCCTTATTGTTTAATGTTGTGAGCCACCCAGAGTGACCTCGCAGCGAGACATTCTCCCGATGGTTTACTGACAGGATGCTAGGAGCGATAGGTGATTAAAAACTAGAACAGTTAACATCTTTTATTCTGTCAGAAAAACAAGTCTCTGCTTAGAGCAGTTCCTATCAGTAGAGAAAAATGCTGGATTCAGTCCCCAATTTATATGTAAAAGTTCCTTATTTCAAATAATCCCTTGCTGTATTTTTTTTATAGACTTTAGCCTATGGTGATATGAACCACGAATGGATTGGCAATGAATGGCTTCCTAGTTTGGGGCTTCCTCAGTATCGCAGTTATTTTATGGAATGTTTAGTTGATGCTAGAATGTTGGACCATTTAACTAAAAAAGATCTTCGTGGTCAACTTAAAATGGTAGACAGTTTTCACAGGTAAATATATTTAAAATAGTAATTAATAATAAACATTTCAATTGCAGTGCTTAATCTCTTATATTTTTTTTAAACACTTTTAAAGAAATAGCTTCCAGTGTGGCATTATGTCTCTCCGAAGATTAAATTATGACCGAAAAGAACTTGAAAGAAGAAGAGAAGGAAGCCTGAATGAAATTAAAGGTAGACTTTTGCTTTTCTGGTTTTGATGCTGTTAATAATTTATTAAATTTAATACAACTTCAGGACCAAGCCAGTTTGGCATAGCAGTTAAGGCACTGCACTAGAGAACAAGAGACTGAATTCTAAGCTTCTCTTAGGCATAGACACCGGTTAAGTGACCCTGGACTAGTGCCCAACTCATCTCACTGAATGGTTGTTGTGGGGATAGCACTATGTATGCTGTCCTGAGTCGTTTAAAAAAAAAGGATAGGAAATAAATGTGATAAATATAATAAATAATAAAGTTATCTTAATACAGTGGTTTTCCATTGATTAAAAGACTGCATAGTTGTAAATATTCTCAAAGATGCTTCTTAGGTTTTATGCAGGATTACCATAAAATGCCCAACTTCTTATTATTGATCCTATGTTCAGTTTGTTTAACCAAGCAATAGCATTATATAATTTCTTTGTTCTTAAGATGTTTATATTAAGCATATTGAGAGACAATAAACTATAAAGTAAATAAAACTATTCAGGCTTATTAATTGTGTATAATACATCCTGAACAATGAAACTTGTCTTCCTTAACTCTGTGCCAGCTTTCAGAAAGCTTTTTATGGACTAATCAGTGCAGCTCAGGTATACAGCTAGAAAGGGGAATTAATAAGTCCATGGAGTTTCTATCTTTTAAATATCCTTCCCTTCCCTTCCCTTATGCTTTATTTAGTGGCTACATTCATATACTCTACAAAGCTAGGATTTTATTTATACGCATCATAATAATAATCCACAATAGCTGGCTTCACACATTATGCTAAGCCCAAACTAGGCTTAGCATGATTGATAAAACAGGCTCTAATGTATGTTAAATGAGCATAAACTTAATTCTTTTAAAAAATGTAGTCTATGAAAACTTTATTAGCAATATTATAGTGCAGTTTTATTTATTTTATTTTATTTATTTTATTTTTATGAGACTTATATACCGCTTTAAGTGCAAGCACTCTCTAAGCGGTGTACACCAGTAAGCAATGTGTGTGTGTGTGTGTGTGTGTGTGTGTGTGTGTATCATTTTACCTACCTCGGAAGGATGGAAGGCTGAGTCAACCTTGAGCCGGTGAGATTTGAACCGCTGACCTGCTGAACACAGTCAGCTAAAGTGGCCTGCAGTACTGCACTCTAACTGCTGCGCCACCTCGGTTAATGAAACTTGGAGAATTTATCAGTTATAACTGTTTTTGTCATCTATTGTTAAAATGCAAGTCTAATAAATACTGGGAAAAAATAAAATAGCTATAATGTACTAACACCAAAATATGACTTCATTCCTTAAGTACTTTCACTCCTATTTGAACTACAAATTGTGGTTCATATGAAAATACTTCATCAAATAAATTGTACATCTTGTGAGCACAAAGTCCAAATGTGTAAAACTATTTTTTTCTGAACTTTGATGTTCAGTAGGACAGTAGCCCAACGATCTATCAGCCCCCCCTCTCCCTCCTCCCAGTAAATGTTGGGCTTTCATTCAGATTACTGGTGAAACTATTAAGACTGTTCCACTGAAAGAAATAGAACTAGTTTTGCCATTTCTTCCTTCTATGTGCTTTTATAGATTTGTTTTGAAGGTTGAGGGAAGTTTCTGCAACAGTGTGGGAGGTACTGGAAGGGGAAATCAGTGAGAGCAGTTGGAGATTCCACTGAATCTTATATCATTGAATAGTATAGAAATCTGAACTCATCCTTTAATCTTTGGCAAGTACACATGATCAATTATTTGATGACTTAAATATTTATTTTTCCTTATATAGATGTCCTTGTTTGGAGCAATGACAGGATGATTCACTGGGTGGTATCAATTGGCCTTAAAGAATATGCAAATAATCTTATAGAAAGTGGAGTTCATGGTGCACTTCTGGCCTTAGATGAAACTTTTGATCACAATGCATTAGCTCTGTCTTTACAAATACCCACTCAGAATACACAGGTAATTATAATAATATCACTTGATGGGCGTTTTTATTCACAAGGTATATTTGGAACTTTATGATATTTAATACTGAAGCAATGAGAATTTTTTTGATTAACTATTTCAAGAAGACTTTTCACACTTCAATCTGACATGCCTGAATTTTATTTTTGTTACTGTGTTTTATCTGAGAGCTGTGACAGTCAAAAATCAAAGCAGATTCACTGATGATAATTAGAATCATAGAGGTGCAAGCAGACATTTTAATTGTCATGGTGAATACCTGCTCAATGCAAAACCCCCAATTAAATAGTCTAGTTAGACGGCTGGCTAGTTTCTGCCCTGTATCCAGTGAAGGGAAGCTTACTAACTTTTGACTAATTGGTTGCACTTGTCAAAAGTAATTGTTAGGTATTTTTGCAGTCTGCAATTTAAACCCATTATTCTGAGTTTGGCATTCTGAAAAGGGAGAATACTAGTTTTGACTTTTTATATGACATTCTTTGAAGTATTCAAAGAATGGTATCATAAACCCAGGAAAATACTATTTTGTTTGAACATTTAAATTATATAAATTTTGTAAATCTAAATTCTCAAAGTGTAGCTCAAATGTTTGAAATATTTTTAAGTTTTGTAATTATTTTTAATTTAGGCTCGTGCTGTCTTGGAAAGGGAATTTAATAATCTTCTTGTGATGGGTACAGACAGAAAGTTTGAAGAGGTAAGTTTAATTTTATGAATTATTATTTATATGGGCAGCCAAAATAATCTGCATCAAATATTTCTTTACAGAAAAATTTTGAAGTATGTGATACCACATTCACTGCAGAAAGATATATTAATAAGGTTTTCATATAACTAATGGCCCATCTTTGTTCTTTCTGCTATTATAGAACCCAGAATTAATAGTACTTACTAATGCAGACAAAATGACTCACTGTGTTCAAAGATAGTTTAGATAACTTGTTTCCTTAATTTTAATGTAATATATAATTTAATATATAATGTCCTTTCTCCACTACATGTTCAGTATCACTTTATCTTCAAGATTTTTCATTGTTCTGTTCTTTCTATACATGAGAGAAGAAAACAAGCAGCAGTAGTTCCTGTTGTAAATTGTATCAAGATTTCATATGGTATATCTCATACTGTTTTGATTAAGTGTTACTGATCAAAATCTGGTGTCATGCTTTGGATTCAGCCATAAGAGTGTATCAGTTCTATAATATTCTAAGAAAGTGAGACCACTGGGAAAAAGTCACACAAGTGGCATAAAATAAAAATGAATATGAAGAACTAAGTAAAACTCCTCTTCAAACTTAATCTGTGGTGATCCTGGTAGCAAAATTTACTTTGTTTTTTTAACCACCATAATGTCCACATCTTCCTTAATTGAGCTATTTACAAATGTTGAGGAACCTATTGAATCTGAGTAGAAATCTCAAACAATTGCAGTAACTAGTTTTACAGATAAAATGAATCATAACATCAACATCATGATTGTTGATAATTTTTAAAAGAAGCAGATGCAGAACACTTCATTATTCCCACTTCATTATGAGAATGTAAGTGCTGGTATACCACCCATAGAGATCAAGTTTGGTAGTAAAAACCAGAAAACTGATTTACCATGTAAATCTATTACCATGTAATTCTATTGTTGGTAACAGCTTATGAGACTTTATAAGAAAAATGTATTTACTTTAAGTACTAAGATATAGGGGAGTAAAGTATTATTTTTATAAAAAGAAGGGGATATTAGGATTTGGGGGGGGAATTCTGACCGTAAATTCTTGTAAAAAGGCCAGTAAAATGTAAATTTATACTTAAAGGATACAGCTATGGTACCTGTCATAATCTTCTGTAACATATCACAAATATAGAAATTTTGTAGTGTCTTGTTGATTTTCTAGTATGATTTCTCAGCACGCTTGTTAATTTGACAGGATGATGATAAAAGCTTTAGACGTGCACCGTCATGGAGGAAGAAGTTCAGACCAAAGGACATAAGGGGTTTAGCTGCTGGATCAGCAGAGACCCTCCCTGCAAATTTTAGAGTTACCACTTCAATGTCTTCACCTTCTATGCAACCAAAGAAGATGCAGATTGATGGTAAAACGTTAATTATTTAAGCATGATATTTATTTCTGAATTAATTTGTAAGTGAACTGAAAAGCATTTGTTTTGTGTAGAAAACTCACTCTGCATGACTTACTGGATTGCTTTAATTTCTAGTGAATGATTGTAGTATTTGTATTTTGTGCTCCTGTAGTATTAATAACTGGCTATCCATGTACTCTGTTTAATGAAATCTTCAGTTGTCTTTATCATTTAAAAATCCCTTTTACAAAAGAAAAAGTAAAAAAAAAAATGGAAATGTTTATTAGCTTATTGTTGTATTAAGATAATGTCAATTCATCTTTTCAGGGAAATGCTAAAATATAATTGGGTATTTATTTATTGAAAGTATTTATAGTCCACCATTATTCAAAATATCTTGTGTCATTTATTAAACAGTAAGATAATATGGTACAGGCAGTCCTTGACTTATGACCACAGTTGGCACTGGAATTTCAAGTGCTAAGTGATGTGGTTGTCAAGACAGTCATCACATGATCAGATCCAATTTTACGACCATTTTTATCGTTAAGTGACTCACAATGGTCATTAAGCAAATCACACAATTGTTAAGCAAATTACACAATTGTTAAGTGAATTCAGCTTTTCCAATTGACTGAAGCTGGCTGGGAAGGTTGCAAATCACAATCACAGGATCCCAAGATGCTGCATCTGTTGTAAATGTGATCTGGTTGTCAAGCAACAAATTGTGATCACATGACTATGGAAGTGGTGTGACAGTCATAACTTCATGGATCAGTTGTAATTCACTTTTTTTAAAGCCATCATAACTTTGAACCATGGTTAAAACTGTTATAAGTTGAGGATTACTGTACAAATAAGTATTTTTTAAAAAAATACTAAGACACAATAATGATCATAGTAATATTAACAGGAGAAATTTAAGGGATAGAAGACACTATATCTTCAGTGAGGGAGTAAAAAGCAAGGTCCTTATCTGACACTGAAAGATAGATATCAGTGTCCAGGGATGAGTTATTCAACTAGGAGCCATGACAAAGAAAAATCCTTCTAGCATAACATTCTTCTCACAGTCTTGAGATGCTAAAGATGCCCTCATGCCTCTTCAAAATTTGGACAGGTACATAATCCTTCAGGAATCAGAGTCTAAACTATGGAGGGCCTTAACATTACAACAACCTTGAACTTCAACCAGCAAAATAAAAGTACTCAGTGCAATTCTTGTAAGACCAGTATTATATAGCCTCTGAAGGGTCTTCTGGATAACATCCTTGTTACTTCACTCTACACTAACTTCAACATCTGAATTATATGCAAGGACAGGTCAACAGAGAGCACATTGTAATAATCCAAATGGGAGAATACCAGAGTACGGGCTACGTGTTCCTAGCATTCAGCAGCATGTTAAAATGTTATTTTAAAATTCTGATCTTTTAGTTTTCTCTTGTTGATAGCTCTATTTTGTTCATCTTTATTTTACTTTTGTTATCTTGCTTCTTGATTCCAATCTTGATAATTTTGCAGTTGTTTTCATTCCCCCCCCCCCCCCAACTACCTGAGGTCATTCAGGCCCAAATAAAAAAGTTTTATCTTTCAGTCAGTCATTAATTTTTAAAGAGTGAAAATTTCAAAATATATTTGATTATTTTCTATATATCTTGATCTCCATTTTATCAGGGCAAAGCATTAAATGAAGGTTATAAACACACACATTGATACTGCCCTCAAGTTTTCTAATGCCAAAAAAATCAAAAAATTTTTAAGATCAAAAAGTTTATATGAAATAAAAATGAATAGTAAATGATTTAAAAACTATAGTATGTATCACCTTAATCAGTGCATTGTTAACAGCCTAGAGACTGCTTTTTGCAGGTAGTGATTAAATGTCTATTGGTTGATGAGGGGCTACACAATGTGTGGCTGGCAATTTGAACTTTTAAGACCTGTCTTCAGTTTTTGTCTACTAGGATCAGAATTGTAAGCTTTATTTTTTATATATAAAAATATATAAAAAATAAATACTATATATTATAGTGTATTAGTATTAAATATTAGCATTAGTGGGCAAATTTGGCTGATTCAGAATTATGGTTAATGTTTTAACTACTCTCTGCACCAGAATAATTTTATTAATTATATTTCATGTTATCTTAGTGAATATATTTAGAGAATACAGATAAAAGATAAAATAATAGAAAGGTCTCTTGTGCCTTAACAAAGTGATGGTTCTCCTTCTCTGAATGTTGTTAAAAAGCTACTGCTTATTATAGGGACTTAAATAATTGTCTTGAACTAGAACTACAGGATTTCAAATAGGAGTCTTTCCCAGCCTGGAGATTTCCAGGATCATACTCAAAACCATGTGTTCTCCCTTTTAGTTTTGGCTTTTTATACTGTGATGAGAAACTAAGTTATTTTAGCTTGCTCAAATGAATGGGGATGATGTATAACTCAATCAGTAAAACCCATTTAATAGTCATGCATTCATGATTATTAAGTATGTTCAAAATCTACCTGTTATATTAAGAAGTGATTTGAAATATATACTGAAGCTTGCAAAAACGAAGATATAACCAGGAATGCTACATTCTGTGTAGCTAACATTTTGTAACTTTCTTGTGCAATACTAACTGCATGCTGTATTCTGCATGTCTTCTTGATTGTTGTTGAAATAGGCAATGTATCAGCAACACAAAGATTGGATTCTGCTACAGTAAGAACTTATTCATGTTAAAGACTTTCGTTGGTAAGTAAAAGTGATAACACTGATGAACAATATGCATTTATTGTATTCAAGGTTTTACTCTAGTGACTATGGCATATTGAAGATTAGGGCAATTGGAATTCATTGTGTAAAATTCAGAGTTATGAATTTATAAATTAGTTTGCAGATTACATGAACTAGTAATCCTGTCATAGAATCATAAGACTGAAAGGGACTTTGAAGGTCCATCCCACATAAATGGCTGTTCCAGTCTTTTCTTGAAAACTTCAGTGCCGGTGTACTCATGACTTAGGAGGCAAGACGTCCCATAACTTAATAGCTCTCACAGTCAGGAATTGCCTCCTTATTTCAAGTTTGGATCTCTCTCTATCAAGCTTCCATCCTCCTTGGCCTTATCTTACCCTCTGGTGCTACGGAGAAGAAATCCAGACCCTCTACCTCGTCACACTCCTTCATGCCCAGCCTTGTCTAGGCCTGGACTATGGAAATTAAATATTTTGCTTACTCATATTGTGTGCAATGTAACTAACTTACATTATGTTTAATATAAATGCATTGGGCAAAATTTAGCTTTTGAAAGAGACAAGATGAGGTGATGGCTTTCACCAGTTTTGTTTCCCAAAGTATTCTGGATAACTACTCCAGTGAAGGAGTTAGAGGATCTGTGGCAGAAAGAAGGGGGAAGAATAGAAACCATTCCCTGACCCCTACATAGAAAGCTTCTCCCGTTCCATGAGCTGAAGTGGTTTGTCATTCTCAGAACAAACCTGGTTCAGTCCATTCTATTTATATGTAAAATACAAGAAATATATATTTGTTGCATATTTTATTGTTAAGCTAATGAGCAAAGGGCTATAAATTGTATTGTTTATTAAAATTTTTGGTTTAGACAAATATTACTGTCTAAGTAGATCACGTTCAGTAAATAAAACATCTTTTTGGTACAGCTAAATATACTATATTTGCTAGTTCTAAATATATTTTAGTAGTGGAAGCAAGTCTAGGAAGGTAGCCACATACACAGTTTATATTGTATATGCTTTTGTTATTAAGATATTCTAATCCAAGCAATATATTGTCAAACTTCCATGGAATATGCCCCGATCATCCTAAAAGAGGCATTACATCTAATTCTTTCTGTGTCATATTTACAGTTGATTTTGAGAGGTTGAAGGAAGTTATACAATGTGTAGCCATTCTTGTAACTTGCAAGTGTTGTCACACATAAGTGAAGCCTTTCACATTGCTAGTTATCATGGGAATGGGTGTGAGGATTAAACTTGGTCATCTTATTTCCCACTTTCCTTTGGCAAGTAATCAGATTGTGGGAGCATTTTATTCCTCTCTTGATTGAAATTTGGTAGATGAAGGTTATTATCTTCTTTCATACTTGCTGTTACTTGTTTCATTATACTGATGGCAGTTTCTGAAATTAATATGTTTATTTTACTTTCAGTTTATCCCCACTATTTCTACAGATGAACTGAACCATTTTGAACCCAATGACCACATTTTGGAAACAGCTGAAATCTTTAATCTGTTAATACTTGTTAAATCAACACTTTGAAATATTTTATTACAGAGTTTTTAATTAGCAGGTGAATTTGTGAGTACTATAAAAAGTATTTTAGATTAAATGTTTCTTATGTGGGTGTATGTGTGTCCCATTACTTAATTTTCTATTAAAATTGTCAATCAAGTTATTACTTTATGTTAATTTTAGTATTTTCATCTGAATGTACTGTAATGCTTGTATGTATCTGTCCCTGTAAGCAATATAGGGCTTTATTGTAAATTATGCAGTTATTGTAATTACCAATAATGAATTTAATAAAGTGAAGGTGAATTTTTTTTTACAATCTTTGTAAAGACATCATGACACCAAGCAATATCAATATATATATATTGCTGTTTGAAAAATGCTAGCTAGCTCTAAAAATTGAAATAATTCCTTTTTTTCAGAGAGGCATATGTTTATTAACAAAACAGGCATGGTACCTGATTCCATTTCCGTTAGAAACTGTACCTTTTAAACTTTTAACATTTGATTATTTAGTGTGTATTCTTATTTAAGGCTTTTGTTTAGTATAATTTGCTTTATATTCATAAATGTGGGAATTTGTAGAACATTATGAAACATATGAGACCTAATGAGGTCATTTATAACTACTTTTTGTGGCTGTATTTGTACAGTCTATGTTCATTGATTGAGCATAAGCAAGCCATAAGCGGAAATATTTTCTGTTAAGCAAGAATAGTTACTACATATTTTCTGTTAAGCAAGAATAGTTACTACATAAGAGTACTTGACAGGCAACATGGAGTGCTCCCTTTCTGGGTTTTGATGTGAAAATGTTTGTGAAAAGATATCAATGCAGTTCTTTTAATGGACCAATCATGATGCACTGCTGCCTCATGACAAAGATGTTAAGAGCATAACATATGGAGGCATGTGGTAGTGCAACTATTAAAAAGGCCTTACTTTTCTTATGTCATCTTTTAGATATATTTATAAGCTTGTTTTTAAATCCAGGCAGATTTTTTAGTTGTTAATAGTTTGAGTCATTGCAAACAGTATAAGTAGAAAATGCATCATTCATTTTTAAATAGCATCTTATGAAGCCAGCAAGGAGGAGATTCAGATCATGGTGCATTATTTATTATACAATAATATACATGGCATGTCTTTTTTCTGTATTTGGTTTTGGCTCTTTTTAAATTGTACAACTTGAATTCATTGTTACTATTTTTTCTATTAACCTTATGTGTACTTTGAATAATGTAACAAATTATGTACAGTCTAAGTACTTTGAACTATTTTTATCACAGTATTATTTATTGCTTTCAATAAATTTCTGAAGCATTTTTCCACTGCCAATAAAATGTTACTATCTTGTGATGAGGCTTGAGATGTTTTAAAATGGTAATTCAGATATTAATGCAAATGAAATATCTTGTGACGTATTAATGCTTCCTTTGGCAAAGACAGTTTTATAAGATCCTTTTCACTTTAGAAATCACACTCTGTATATTATATGTAAGATATACTATTACTATATAAACTTATCAAAATGATTTGTGCAAAAAATTTAAATTCTGAATGTTAATACATTCAAAGAAGATATATTCCAAGGAATGATTGTATGCATTAAATCTACCAGATCTCAGGTCCATAAATCCAGATAAGACTATCAGATAGCAGCAAAGAAATGTGGAAGACTCAATTTTTTTTACTGCTCAGTATTGATTATATGCATGCATATCTTAATCTGAATTTTAGATACTAAGACTAAGGAATTTAATCTTCATTGTGATTATACTGAAGCTATATATAAAATGATCAAACAGATTCCCTTTATGGTAACATCTTTTCTGTCATCATTGAAGGTGGAATTTTGCTTCATCTCTAATCTGTCTTTATGGCATAGCAGGATACTCATTCTGAGCAAAATGGTTTGTGAGCTACATAAAATATTATTTTACTTTTATGCTGCCTTTCCTCCTGACCTAAAGCGATGAACAGAAGTAAAATAAACAATATTCAATAAAACAGTTCAGTAAAATGGCCTACTATAAAATAAATCAGTAAAACAATAAAAATAATTGTGCAGCAGTTTAAAATGTAGTACATTGTAAATGCCAATATAACTATTCACATTTACTCAGTCAGTATAAGCCACAATGATGTTAACAGAGATGAAGGCTTATATGGATTTTAGAGAATAGCTTTTAGTTTATTAGTTTCACCTGAACTGTAAAGATTTGTGCTAACTTTAAACCTATCTAGCTGTGCAAATCAAGACTTGGGGAATTATTTTTAGTTTCTTTTGATATCCAATCAGATAGCAAATAAGAAATGGTTATGCCTGGAACAAATTCTAAATAGGCAGGCAGCCTGCCTGCCTGCCTGTGAATTTTGTGAAATTCATCAGAGAAGATGTCATTTTTCATTACACTACAAAGGAATACCCCGACATTTAATTTGTTAACAGGAGAGGGAGTCATAAGATCATGAAATCCCTGTATGCCCAGGGTGAAGCCAATTGTAATTCATGTAATTAGTAATAAATGCATACCAGCTATCTTTAAAATTATTTCTATATCACTTCCCATTGCATAGAATCCAGGAGCAATTTACAATTCCTGAAAGTATTTTAAAATAAAAATGAAATCAAATGTAGTGTAAAAGTGAAGAATATGTTAAAGAAACATTTATAGCAAAATAAATGGCTGAGAAGTTTATTTAAAAAATTCCGCATTAAGTGTAGGAAAATTTTTCCATATGAGGCCTTTTTCCTGCCCAGAATTATTTCAGCTACTAGCTTTTTCTTCATAGATAGAATTTTGGATTCACTACAGTTCATTTGTTCTGGTATGTGGGTATGCAGTTTGGCAATGTCTGCTACTTTTAATATTGTTGAGACTTCAAGTTCGATTTCTAGCCACAAAATATATGCTGTATCACAGGTTAGACTGCTTACAGTTTAGCTGTAAATCAGTTCCTCCTACTGTATTACAAACCTGATAAGTAGTTGCTAATTTCATTAACTTTCCTTATTGATGTCTTCGGCAGCAATACTTGAACTACTGTGTTATAAGTTGGCAGTTTGGGAGTTAATGGTGCTTTGCCCAGTGGAAACAGGAAATTCCTAGTACCCCATGAGTCTTTGCACCACAAGAATACTGGCAATGCTACACAATATGTGACTCATTAAGCAGGCAGCAATGGATGGGGAGAGGGAGAGGATAAAAAAGTCCAGCATGTAGGACATTTTCCCTTGGGATCCTTATTCTGCTAGCAAACCCTTATATTAATCCATGTAGCTTAGTCTCAAATTGAGGGCAACTAGGAGAGTATGTACACAAGGAGAAAGGTAGTTGGAAATTTCATGTGTGGCCATGACATCTTATACTCCTAGAAACTGAATGGTCATAATGGGAACCCATTCTCAGATGATTAGCTATGGTGTGTTCCTCATGTGCAACATCACAGACCTTTCAAAGACAGTGTGTTGATGTCACTCCTGACCACCCTCTCTAGGTGGTGGTTTCATCAGCTAGGCATTTTCCAATCACCTTGTGCTTCGAGCAAGTGCCAACAATTTAGTTATTCTCAGATCATAGGCACCTTCTGAATCATATGGACCCAGCATTAAGTTTATGCTCCTGTACTGGGTTGGTAGGGGCAGGAAACAATCTAAAGATGTGAGGTAGACCAAAAATAACTCTATTCCCATTGTTAGCCTTGTGAGGTAGTCCAGACAAGAAGCATACCCAGAGGTACTAGCTCTATTTTATTGTAAAATTATATTAACAATATAGTCTGAAGTCTGAAAGTACATCTCTCTCCACTCAGTTTTACAGTCTAAAAAAACTAGGAAAGGTCCCTAGTTTGTCATGTTCCTATTCCTTCTGTGGAATCAACCACCTCTTATCTGATCATTGTTAGGTCCGCGTGTCTCACAAACTCATTCCTACATACCATTACACCCTTCAGCTATCACAATTTCCTTGTTATACCTATGTATTTGTTGCTCCTAGTGAACAATGCCTATCGGGATTAATTGGTTGATAAGAATGAAAGTCAGAGACTGATTTCTCAGCTGTGGGCTTGGAGATAGCTCGGTCAGTGATGCCCAAGTATCAACTGGGTACAGGTTGTAAGTCACTTTTTCCAGGGCTGTTGTAACCTTGAATCATTGTTAAATGAATGGTTGTAAGTTGAGGACTACATATATATTTATGAATACTTAAATTTGTAATCTAGTATGTCTTGCGTTTTATTTAATTTTTAACAGTCTTTTTAATATAGTTGCATGATGTGTTTATATTTTTATAGTTTTAGTCATTTGAATGGCCTAGAGTCACACTTCATAGGCAGTATCATCATCATCATCATCATCGAGATAGCAGAATAGAGGAGAAAGAACTGGAGAAGATAACAAAATACAAAGACCTACAAATAGAAATAGAAAAACTGTGGCAAAAGCAAGCAAGGGTAGTACCAATAGTAATAGGCGCCTTGGGTGCAATCCCAAAACAACTGGAGCACCACTTGAATACCATTGTCATTGACAAATTCGCCACTAGTCAATTGCAAAAGGCGGCCTTACTAGGAACTGCTTCCATCCTGCGACGATATCGTGGACGATACCATCAAACATCCACATCTGCCTATCCCAGGTCCTTGGTAAGACTTGATAGGTAGGAAAAATGCCAAATCCAGTCTGAACATACTGGCTGACTGTGCGATGATCAATGATAATAATAATAATTACAATAATAATAATAAAGTCGGAAGGAACCTTGGAGATCTTCTAGTCCAGGGGTAGGCAACCTTGGCTCTTTTATGACTCGTGAAGTCCACGAGTCATAAAAGAGCCAAGGTTGCCTACCCCTGTTCTAGTCCAACCCCCTGCTCAGGCAGGAAACCCTATACTATTTCAGACAAATGGCTATCCAGTCTCTTCTTAAAAATTTTCTGTGTTGGAGCATTCACAGCTTCTGGAGGCAGGTTGTTCCACTGATATAACTGTGATAAATATACACATATATCACTCTTCCTTAGCCCACCTCAACTCACAGGATTGTTGTGGGCAAAATAAGAGAAGGAATGAATATTATGTGCACTGCCTTGAGTGATTTATAAAAACGATAAATGCAGGATAAAAATAAATGCCACATGCCAAATCCTATCAATCCTAGAATAAAATCAGATGGCTTTTCAGCATATTTTTTTTGCTGAAATCATGTTTCATGAGTCCTAATTGCTTAATATTGTAAATTAAGGCTAACTAAATTAACATTTGGCAAATCTAACCATTTTATTCATGATTTTCTTTAACACCAGTGACTTCTAGTAGGGGAGCATGGTGCCTAAGGTGACCAACTTTTTTACAATGAAAAGGAGGACACAAATAAATTGAAGAAAAAAATATTGTAAATAAAAGAAACATTTTATTCATTGCAACAATATTACAGAATACACTATAATATGATAAATGCATAATAAAAACATTTGTAGCAATAACATTTTATATTGAAATTATGCTTACATGCCTATTATTATTTAAATGAGTACTTTTCCATTGAATATTTTTTGTCAATGTATCATCTTCTAACAATATATTGGAAATATCTGAACAAGAAATATCCTTCATATTGAATTTTACGGCAAGTGCTGCAGCTAGAGTACCAACATTCAATCTCGATTTCTCACTTTTCCAAAAATCATTAGCAATTGAAAAAACCCTTTCAACTGCTGCATTAGTTCCAGGGCAGCACAATGTAAATTGAACAAGAATAAATAAATTTTCACATGGAATAGGTTCATTTTTGAAATGGCTGAATATTTCCACCCATCTTATCAATTTCAACGTGTTTATTTTCCTATTGTATTAATTTTTCATAATTTAAAAATACATTCAGCCTTCTAATTTCTTCAAAGAGACAATTGTTGTCTATTTTAATATCTGGCATTTCTTTAGATAAAAACTCAACACAAGATTTAATATCTGTCCAATATACTTGAGATGAAGTCAAAAAACACCATTGAAACTGTTATTTCCTGTGATATTTGTTTCAGACCGTTCTTCAATATATTGAAAACATGTTTGGTAAAAATTCTGCACTTCTTTGATAAACTTTTCCGTTATGCCCGGATTTGATTCCTCTAAGTCTGACAATTTTCTTTTTATAACTAAAGGAAGACATTTTAATTCAAATTGAGTTTTATATTGAAGGATAAAGTCATTCAAAATAAGACTAAACTTCTGTAGCTGAAATGTGTTCACCTTCAATCTCTTGAATCGTTCTGTGAAAAATAGATGCTTGATTATGTACAAAATACATAATATCTCAGATATTTCATTATTGAAAAATGATTCCAGGATTTTAGGACATTTGTCTAAACTTAAAAAATATGAACGAGAGGGTCAAATAATTGTAGAACATGCTCTATACAGCGAAGGTGAATTGGCAGGAACTTTGCACCCCTCCCTGCTACCCAACTACACCATCTCCTAGTTAGTCCCAAAGATACTTGGAGGAGACTAATTTCCATTTAGGGATGGAAAAATTAAAAAGGAGGAAATGCCATTTCAACGATAAATTGAATAAGGAATTTCCATTCATCACATCAAAGAAGGATAACATTGTTTTCTGCAATATTTGCAGCGGAGAATTTTGTATTGCAGGGGGTCACATGACCCTGGAACACTGTGACCATTATAAATATGAATCAGTTGCCAAGCGTCCAAATGGGCATGCTGCAATGGTCATAAATGTGAAAAATGGTCATAAGTCATTTCAGTGCAATTGCAACTTTGAACAGGGTTTTTTTTTTTTTTT